CAGTCCACACCAGTCATCCCCGTCATTATATGCTTCTTAGAAGATGGGTCAATTCCAAGGTCCTTCATTTTGGAAAAGAGTATTGGCTGTGTCTCTATGCCTTGTGAAATCGACATTTTCCGCTCCAATTCTCAAACGCTCGGCATGCGTGAAAAGTGGCGTAACGCCGACTGGTGATGTTTCCTTCACGCTCGGTGACATCTCATATTTGGCCAATGTTCGATATCCAAAAGCTACCTTGAAGGTCGGCTGTAAAAAGGTCACTGTTGCAGCCGATGATTTAACACCTTTCACAGTGGTCTCAATCAATGAGACTCTTGTCACTGGCGGCTTATTAGAAGACATTATCACGAGCTACACGACCGGCGATGATGTTTTCACGGAGGCTTTTCTAGAAGGCATTTACATCGCTTTTGATGGGTCCGCTGAAGCCACTATTGATCCTTCTGCGATCACTTATCTTGAGTCGCTTGCTCCAGGATATGTCCTACTAGATTCGGCATTCGCTGCGTCCATGGCAAAAGCAGTATCCGACGTTACGATCACCCTCGTGCCCTCCAGTGCAATGCCTATTCCATCTGGACCTTATGCAGCAACAATCAGTACAAGCTCTATCAAATTTAATATGGTGTATCGCCTATATACGGATTCATACAGGGATTTTCTCTACGGTACTTATTCTTATGACGACGGTGAAGATACATTCAGCTCTCTCGATCTCTTCTACACGCGCAACTGGTTCCCTCTGATCCCTGTTCCTTCCCGAATCTACTCTTGGTCCGATCCCAGGCCTCTGGCCGGAGCGCGTGTTGCCATCAAGGACTTATTTGACATGAAAGGGCTGGTGACCTCGGGTGGAAGTCAGGCTTGGGCTACGGTTAACTCAATAGCGAATTCCACAGCTCCTTCGATCCAGCGCATCGTAGACCAGGGAGGTATTCTAGTTGGAAAGTACAAACTCGCCCAATTTGCTAGTGGAGCAAATCCGTGGGACTGGCAGGATGAGCACTACCCGTGGAGCCCGAGAGGAGATGGCTTCCTCACATGCGCTGCATCCTCTTCTGGAGGCGGGTGTTCCGTTGCGGCCTACGAATGGTTAGATTACGCTATAGGATCGGACACTGGGTCGTCAATGAGACGACCAGGGGCTGTTTCTGGTACCTACGCCAATCGTCCCAGTCAAGGCATGATCACTCTGGAGCAAGTCTTGCCTCTCGGTGCTGCGACTGACACAGCGGGAGTATTCGCTCGAAATGTTCACGATTGGGTTCACTTCGCAAAGAATTGGTACTCTCCAGAATTACATCAAGATTCATCTATCACGGGCTTGACCCCTCTTGTTGTGCCGGACACCAAACTATTCCCTAAGCGTGTCCTGTATTTGACGGACTATCTACCTCTTGCTAACCCTGCTGCTGAGACAATTCTACGAGGATTTCTCGCTAACCTGACAAGCGTTTTTGATATGACATTGGAACAAGTCAGCTTCGGATCCCTGGTCAACGGCTCAAATCCCAGCATTAGCCAATTGAGCAGCTCTACCAGTACCATCGCGCGCTGGACACAATATAAAGAGGTGGGAAAGCCATTGGTAGATGCTTGGGCAGCTCTCTACGATGGCCGTTATCCACCCGTTGATTCAGGACACCGAAGCTGGGCCAATGTGAACACGACACTGTATTCGCAGGCAGCTTATGATGCCGCGATCGTCACTAAACGTGCTGGTGTTGACTGGTTCGAGCAGAACATTCTGTTCAGCACCGCGCAGTCGTGCTCCGAAAGTATTATGATATGGGATATTGGAACTGGAGGATTGCCCAGCTTTCGTGAAGAGGACTTGGTCACCAATAACACGGCCGCAGCATTTCTAGCAACAGTTCCGGCTCGCGCCGTTGTAAGCGGTGCTACTATATGTCCTATTTTCGGCTGCGTTGATAGTGAGCAACTTATTTCAAGTTCTTTTTCTGTCTTTCTCGATTTCAAGACACGGTCTTGTCTCAAGGTTGATGCTCATCAGACATTCTCAGTGCAGTCTATTTTGTTCTCCTATTGTTGTAACGTGATAATTACTGACCTCAAACGTTTGTAGTGACGATTCCCATTGGACAGGTCACGTATCAGTCCAATGTCACCTACCATATTGAATATATGCCTGTCACGGTGAGTGTCATTGCTAAGAGGGGATGCGATTATATGCTTTGGAACATGTGGGAGAAGATGGCAGACCTGGGTATGCTCCAAACAGTGAAAACCGGAAGGACGGCATTCTAAGAATCGATCGAACTGAGCGTGATTAATCACGTAGTAAGTCTACATAGCTTAGCAGGATTTTGAAATCATCTAGTAATTCAATTGTTCTCGAACTTGGAACGTGACGAATAGTCGATTGCAAGTGCTTGACCTTTTTCAATTTTTCAGGCAAGACTCTTTACACCAGAAATTTCTTTTTGCAGCTTCAAAGAACTACCGAACCCGATGTCAAGATCCAAATGTGGAAGGTACAATTATTCATATCTTGCCGAGCATCAATCCGTACAGGCTGATAATTACGTCGCTAAGATTGGTCTCTTTTCCACGTAATACGTTATTAGAAACATGAGTCATATTTGTGAAGCTGAATAAAGACTTCCTGCACATTGCGCGATCGCGCAGCTTCTGGGTTTGTCGCCAATAATATCGAGTCAAGTGAGGCCGAGCATCGCAAGCTCATCTCCCCAGACCCCGCACACAGGGTTGAGCACTGCCACAATACTGATAAGAGTTGCTCGCGTGACAGCCCGTTCTCAAGCAAACATCTCTGCCCCTAGTCCAACTCAAGCCATAGAATCGTGAATTGATCTACAATGATAGTGATAACGGCGTATAAATCGTCTTATTTGTCTACACTTAAAAATGGTGAAATCAAACGTCAAGGGCCAAATTAGAAAAGAAAGAGGTCGAAGTCTCACAACCTCCAGTTTTACTTGTGAAACACAGGGATCATGGCTACGTTAATTTATCACGGCTTAGAGTGGCAAAGACGAAATTATCCCCTTTTAGATTTAGAGTCTGCGACCAAGATTCTTCGCGAAAACGAGGCCACTTCAATATTGCAGGATCTTAGTACAGTGCCAGTCACCCGGGTCGATATCTTGAGACTCGAGGCTTCAAACCCTTGTCAAGATAACTTTACAAACGAGGTCGTTGACGTGGGCGCTTCCCGTCCGTGGAGATTCTGGGGTGTTTTCGACGGCCATGCGTAAGTCAAACACTGAAATCTCGGCACCTGCACGGCTTGTTGATGATGGTAGTGGCTGGCAAACCTCGACTGTTCTGAGTCAGGCTTTGGTCTCGTATGTGGCGCGAGAACTGAAAGATGCATTCACCAATGACGTGAAAGAACCTTCCGTAATTGATGAAGCAATTAAGAGAGGCTTTACTCGTCTAGATGATGATATCGTTCAAGGGGCTCTAAGATCCATCAGCAGTGCAGCAACCCGGGCTGAAATCATCGCGGATATAGCTCCTGCAGTTTCCGGCTCGATGGCTGTCTTAGCAATCTATGACCCAGAATTGTCCATTCTTCGTGTTGCCTCAGTAGGAGACTCGCGTGCCGTTCTCGGGCAGTTGAGTGGAGGGAATTCAGCCAACGGAACTTGGAACGCTCTTGCACTGTCAACCCCACAAACCCCCGTGCGTGAGGACGAGCTTGCTATTCTGCTCAAGGAGCACCCTGATGAGCCAGAAATGATTGCCAACAAGCGGCTACTTGGTATACCTGTCACTCGGGCGTTTGGTGATCATCGGTGGAAGTGGCCTGCTGAGGCTATTGCCGAGGGTCGTAAAAAGTACTACGCTTTCGAAGCCCGGCCAAATTTCAAGAGTCCGCCCTACTTGCATGCAACTCCGGAAATCTCTACTACCGTTGTAAAGCCGGGAGATTTTGCTGTTTTGGGCACGGATGGGCTTTGGGACACCATGTCGGCAGAGAATGCAATAAGATGTATGTCTATGTGGATCCACGAGACAAATCGCAGGGTTGACGAGGGCGAAGAATATCTGGGCAAGCTGAGTGATGCTCATGCTGAGTCAATCCCGGTGACGGAAGAAGAGCAGGAAACACGAGTAGGAGAAACATGGTCCTGGATAGCGCGCCCAGAAGACTTCGTTTGTGAGGATGCTAATGCGGCTACACACCTCATACGCAATGCTCTTGGCGGCAACAGGCGAGAACAATTCTGTACCCTCATGGGCGTCTTGCCACCATCTACAGATGACGCGCGGGATGACATGACGGTGCAAGTCATTTTCTTTGGCGATATAGTCAAGGGTTGCGCATGAGGCTCCTTATCTGTGAAAGTGTTTTCTTGATGAACCCTTTTATCCAGCTCTCCTCTTTGAGGCTGGCCGAGAAATCGCATATGATTATTCATTTCTAAGACCGCAATCCCAATTTTGCATCATTATAGGAGAATTTACAAATTACATAAGAAATTTTTCCTTTATATAAAGCAACGTGCTAATAATTCCTTCGCTATAAAGCCATAGACGCCATTTGACACCCTGAACTAACGTCCATGGTTCATCCATGGTTCATGAATACGCCATCTCAGTGTACGTAGGCGCGGTTTCACAGTCGATGACACCGGTCGTGTCATGCACGTCCATTATCATACAAATGCCGTTGAATTGATGCATTCGCATCCCAGGTTCCACGAGGACTAGCTCGAGACGCCGTTTTCGTGGATCAAACCCGAACAATACGAGCCATGTATGAGATACTTGGGTCTACTGTGGTGTATGGGGCAGGTCATACACATCAGGGTGGAGACGCCGGAGTCACTGTGAGAGGCAAGGAGGGTCTGACGGAATACCCGAGTTTTGGCCTTCTACTAGAGTATGCATCACAACATGCCTAGAGCGCTGCTTTACCACGAGATTCGAAAGGTAGAGCGAGCACCAACAGACCAGAAGCGATGAAAAGGGCCCCGCTCGTATAGACTGGTGCAGCCGTCTCAAGATTAGCAAACATTGCGATAATGGGCTAAACACAAGGGTTAGCAAATGCGTCAGGTCCAAAGGAGTTTGTAGTTTGCCTACAGCCATAATCCCGAATATTCGGTTGCATGTGGCGCTCAAAGCATTCCCAGTTCCTCTTTGTGGTGTTGGAAATAGCTCCGGGGTATAGCTATATAGCACAGCATACATGACATTGCTGGTGAAATTGAAGGCGCAATTCCAGCCCAGTAGGGACTTGGAATCAAGCGCGGTTGTTGACCCATAAAGAAACACACCGGTCAGGACGGTCGATAGAGCAAGCGTTCCTTTTCTGCCGAATCGTGGTAGCTCGACTAGGAATCCGCCAAGCAGTGCCCCAGGCACACCCAGCACGGCGATGATCAGAGAATTGCGGTAGGTGAGATACGTAGAGCCGTCACCAAAATCTGCTCCTCTGGTAGCCTGGATGTATGGAAGGAACGCATTGTACAAAGGGTAACCGAGGCCAATGAATGCCCAGATAATCATGATGAGTCCTGTAGACCAGGCAAGTCGTCGGCTCGAGAACAAAACGCGGACACGGCTAAGGTTGACCTGCTCAAGGTGACGCCTGATAGCCTCTCTCGCATCCGTACGCTGGACATAACCACCGGGCTCACAGGCCTTGAGATCATCAATCGTGAGGCTAGATGACTTGCCGTTCCTACGAGCGACTTCATGAACGACCCGCACGGCATCCTCATCCCTCCCTTTGCCCATAAGATACTTAGGAGATTCATAGATGGTGAACAACACGAAGCGAATAAAAAACACTGCTCATTGTTAGCACTTGTTGGTAGGTAAGCATGATAGACAGCGGGAACCATGCGAGTTCTTTGCCACGAGAATGATTTCTTCTTACTTATGAGAGTCAAACCGCCCATCGTAATGACGAAATACCTCCAGCCCATATTCTCGGATCGGGTACAAGTTGTGTTTTGCTGGCATGTCAAGTTTCCCAGAAGAGGCCAGGCAACAAGGGTGGCGATAACCTGGGCAATAGCCCAGTCAATAGAGAGGATGGTGAGTAAGTACTGATGCGATGCAGGGAGAAACTCCAGAAAGATAGCGGAGTCCACAGGTAGATTGCCTCCAACGCCAAAGGAATATAGGGCGGCAAAGACACCAATACTAGCAAAGTTAGGAGCCCCTGCTGCGACCATACCCCACAGTCCGGCGAGGCCAAGCGTGGAGTTGAAGGCCCATTTTCGGCCAAAGATATCACAACCAAACCCCCAGAACACAGCACCAGCGAGCAGGCCAATGTTCTGGGCGAGAGTGAGAAAGGGCCCTTTGGACGGTTTGAATTCGTTCTTGACAGGCGTGAAAATCAAAGATGTCACGATAGGCCACAGATTATCGCTCGCCCAGCCAAACCCCACGACGATGAAGAGCTGCCACTGGTACCAACCCATTCCGATATCCTTGATCTGCATTTTGGGTTAGTGGAATTGCCCGAGGGAAGATGGTTGAGACCGTAGACATGCAGCTCGATTCAGCACCCTCGCCTTGGCCTCGTAGATGGGGTCGACCTGGCCTTTGGGGAAAATGGCAACATCATCATCAATGCCGATCTCCGTGTCAGTGTCATGACCTCCTAAGCCATCGTGGGCGCCGGCGGCTGCAACCGCTTTCTTGTCGCCGGTCTCAACGTCGGCCATGATGAAGCGCAACACGTGAGGCAATGCCGTCCTGGCGCCACACTACACACCGTAGGCAGCAGCAAAGCACCCAGGCGTGAGGTTCTGGACGAACAAAGGAATATAGGCAATTATGTAGGAGAATGCAGAGAAGAAAGATGGGTCGGGAGAACAGCAGCTTCAGTGTAGTAAAGGTCGCGGCTCGCGTGTCCCCCACTCCGTCCGTCAAGGCCAGTAAGCTTAAGAATGATATACTTTCGAGCGGTCTGTCGATCTCCCGGCACGCTGGAAGACGTGTAAATGCCCATCTATCGCGCCATCTAGACGATCCCTCGTAAAAGGGCGGCCCGCCTCCGGTGGCTTGGGTGATTTGGTGCAGGGCCGCCCTGTGATTTGTGCGGGGTGCATGGCAGTGTGGTAGGAATTACGTAGGACAGGGCAGCACATTTGATGGCGATCATGCAAGTCTCCAGTAATCGATCGCTCCTCCCACAACAAGGTTGGCTGGATGATGGGCGCGATGGGCTCCTCAGAAAACCTTGTGGTGGACTGTCCCACCGGTCAGCTCCGAGACACCTTTATATCATCCTTGCATTCCATTGCGTCTTCGATAAATCAAGGGGCACTGAAACCCTAATATTAGCTTTATTCCCTTGAGCGACCTGGGGGAATGGGCTGTAGACAGACGATCAAATAGCTACCTATCTAAGAACACCAGGTAACTAATTCAAGTATTCCAAACAGGTTGTTGCGCGCTGCGGTGCAGCTTGCATCCAAGTTTCAAACCTAAACGGCCGGTAGGTGCGGGGGTTGTCAGCGTCAAAATCATATCTTGCCCTCAGCAGTTTAGACTACCAGGGAAATGGCCTGACTCCTACATAATTAACCATCTACTGGTCACTAACAAAGGCCTTCGGGGGGTCTGGAAACTGCTGCAATATCAAAAACTCCAGACTTCATTTGATGTGAGAATGTTGGAAGTAGCCGCATCTGGTACTCTTATTCACTTCATTATCTTAGCTTCAAATTCTGCAAACTTTGACAAAGTTCAAAGGCCCTGTGTTATTTTACAAGGGCTCTTCATTTCTCGCCTGTCAGAAAAAGCTGTTTCTCTCCTGAATACACCACCTCACATAGTTCAAACACGGCCAAAATGAGGGATGCCCAAGCTATCAAATGCCTTCACCTCAAAGGCGTGACAAAGAACCAATATTAAGGAGAGCCGCAGAACAGACCCTCCAGAACATCTGGAAACGCATAGACCAGCAAACCGTGAGACCGTATCAACCCCGTCTATTACGCATAGGCCCGCCAAATCTGGTGCTCCATTCATAAACTCGAACAATTTGCACTTATTTACCTGTAGCATTTGCTACCTGAGCTTCCGAGCATTCAGGGATGTTTGCACTCGTTTCTTTCTCATCCGAGAAGTTTTCGGATACTTTGATGACGTGAGACGTCGGCGGTGGTGGTTTCAATCTTGGGCGATCTGGATCTGAAATGTCCAGAAAGGCCAACTCCTCATCTGCCCGGGTGGTCGGTATTCCATCAGCAGCTTTAGACCATGTGCCGCATCCGACGCCTTCGTGAGCTAGTCGTTGCAGTTGTAATGTCTCGTTGACACACCACTCCACATTTGCGTAGGCTCTAAACTTACGCCGTCTCTGTAAACAGGATAATAGAGGCGACAGTGCATACGAGACAACGGAAATGAGCCCGCCCAAGCCAAATATGATACCAAGGCCAAATATGCTAAAGGATGAATAAGCCGTGCTTCGGATTTTCTTGTTATCAAGGTCTTATTAGCTCTGTCTGATCAAGCTAGTAGTCCTGTTATGAGGGTATTTACCTGGTTCTTGCAGAGATATTCTTCTTGGGAATTACTCGGTCGTTGAATATAAGTCCGAAGACGAGGGTCTGAAGGCCCTGCTGCGGTAGTCACAAAGCCTTCTTGGTGACTAGTTAAAGACACGGCAAACCAAAATGCTACATCTTTTTGCCACTGGTTTGCTGGAATGCTACGCTGGTAGCCCGAAGCCAGGTAATTGCGTGCAGTTAAAGCTTGTGACCCTAGGGCGTCAACCGCACTACCGACCACAGCTGCATTGCTGGTAATGATTGAGTAGATCCAGATAAACCGGTTGAAGGTCTCTGTATTATGCCCAAAAAGATCGGACCCTCTATCTCCCGCGTCCATAAGGCTACTGAGGGGAGCGCAGCGGTCCTGCTCTGGTAGGTTCGGGTTGCAGTATTGCCATTGTTCGACACAAGCCAATGGGGATGCAGGCTCATTTTGCATGTAGGCCGGGAGACGCTCAGGTTTGGTCCCATAGAAATCTATATACGTCTTCCACGGTTTCGTTGCCTTGTACCAGTCATCCTCCGTTTTGTTTGCAAAGGTGATGCCATTGGCCGAAAGGAATATCATGTCGACATCTGCGTCGAGCCGACGTAGCTCTGGAATTGGTTCAAAGGTTGACGAATAGTTGAGGGACCCATTGTACGGGTGTGCCCAAGCGAGACTGGAACACTTGTTAACATTGATACATCAGAAATACACATTTCTGTTCAGTTTGCAAGTCTCGTTTGGTTCTCGAAGGAAATCTCGAACTCACCCTAGACTGTAGTCATCAGCGGCACTAGTACCATTGGCAGTCTCTGTGTCAGTTTCGTACACACGGTCGTTTGTGTATTCATAGGTGTAATCTCTACGTTGCTCGTAAACGCTATACGGCCCAAAGTGATATCTGGTATACGACCTATCGCTCGAGATATTATGGGACGAGGTTCGATTTTCGGTCTTCAAGGGGGCACACTGCAGCACATGTCTGAACTGCACTCTCTGATCTGGCGGTGTGTTGAGGCCAAAGTCATTATTACTATCAAGGTAACCTGAGTCAATCATCAAATTTGAGTCGTTTTTGCGACAGATATCACCGCTGAATGGACACGGGCTGTGAGTGTTGATAATGAGGCGATCAGCTAAGTTTTTCTTGACGAGTGTCGCACAGTCTAATACGCTAGATGCATTAGACAGATAACATTCCTTGGCATAGTTGGTTTGCGCTACGAGCTCCGAATAAAGCGCTGGGCGAATAATTGCCTCATTAACTTCTGCCGACGTATCGATTGATGAGTTGATCCATCCACAAAAGTCGCTGGAGATCAAGACCTCGTTACCGGTTCCAGTCGAGACCCGCGATGAGAAACCGCTGGCGATGATGAACCCAAATACACAACAAGAGGTAATCACAACAGGTGCAAGCATGCGCAGAAGCATGCGTCTCGTTGATCTTTTCCAGGCCCATGCCATTTGTAGGAACGACACTAGGCCCGACTCTGCATTAGATGCATTCCGAAATATTGCCTGGCGTTGATGATATAGGCCGTCCTGTGGAGAGTGGGACGAGTAGAGGAGATGAAAGACCACACAGCATATCCGCCAGAAGCGCGTACCCACAAATGTGACAAAGAAAGCAACAAATGCAATGAGAAGGTCACCATCCTGCCTCGTGAGAGTGAGAGTCGAGCCAAAAACGCGTCCTTTGGACCAATTGGTCCACACGCCCAGGTAGACATGATGTTGAGTAGACGACTCAGTGCTAGTTGATATCCCAATGTCCATATTTGCAGACGAAAGTTGGCACAGAGGTAAGTATGAATGCCCTTCAAGGTTCGCAATGATGAATTCGAACTTGGTAGTCTAGCTTAGGGAACTATAAAGAATTGTCGATCAGGTCAAATATAAAGTGCTGCAGTTCCCCTATTTTTGAGAACAGCCTTGGGCACAGCCTTGATATCTTGACATATGGAACAAGCCGGCATTCACTCTCCTATAGGCAGCTTCATATCTAGCATGGAATGGCATGCAAGCTAGTGGCCAAATGCTTGCACTCGATCACGGAAGGTTAGATTAAATCACACTACAGCACGGCACATCAGATCCTTCTAGCCCAGCTTGTGATACCGGATGATACCTGGAACCATTAGACTCGACCTCGGATCTCAAATCATTGGTTGTGGAAACGTGTTCGTCCAAAGAAGCGTTTATCAAGTGCCGCATGAGTGCCCATCATTGGCCTGTCTAGCCCGAAACGCCGGTAAATTATATACTGCGCCGCAATATCATATATCGAGCTGCATGTGGATATTAAACGGATAGGCTGATTGCGCTTACTTTGTTTTCCCCTCTTTCAATGCTACCCTGTCTAATGGTCCCAAAGATCGTGGTTTCACAATATGGAAATGGTACACACACGGTTATGATAGCTTATGGTTCTCGACCTTACTGGCGACAAGCAAGACATAGCGGTGGTCAAGTTTTCCCATCTTCTAGATACCTGATCACAAAAATTCCCATACAATCTTGGGATAATCAAAAGCTGGAATAGGATTCATAGGTGATTTGGTCATTCAGGAGCAGATGTGTGTCCCTGTATTATGTGTTCCTACTGTCGACAACTTCCGACCTCTTAAGATCTGCGATCTCGAAATGGCGGAGCTCCCCCCTAAACATGGTCCAGCTCATTACTATCCAGTAATAGAACTCACTACGTCAAGGACCTTGTTGCCTTCCGTAGACGGCAAATATGGATAGGCAATTGATCATTGTAGAAGGGACCCAGCTGGTCCCGTCTCTTCGGAACCGGAAAGTCCACTTGATGTATCGTGAATCCGGTATTCTGGCATGCATGCTGAAAAGCTTCGAATGTGGCTCGGTTTCTTTCAGTGGCTGCAATCACAATATTGGCCATAGAAGAGGATGCCACGAGCTCCTCCAATGTGCCCACAAGAGCAGGAATCACGCTCGGGTCATATGTAATGTCTGCACCAATGACCAGATCAATATTGCGGCCGCCGTTCCACTCCTGTTCTTCGGTTCCAGTTAGGGCATGACCCCATTTCAAATCCATCGGTGAGATGGTTCCAGAGTCCTGGAGCCCGTTGAGGAAGATGTTATCAGGTAGGTTGTTGACTACATCATCTGAACCATCTGATGCGATGACGTGGGCTGCGGCGAGATGCTTGGCGCACAGTATTGACAGGAATCCAGTGCCAGCGCCCAACTCTAAGACGCGCTGCCCATTCACTAGCCGAGGGTGTGCACAGAGATACTGCCCTAGATGTATGGCGGCCTCCCAAGTGCGTAGGCCAGTCGTTCCGAGTGCTGAAATGAGCGCGCGCGACTCGAGAAGAGTGATGCTTGGGACCACTAGCGGGACACTCTGTTGCATGCGTGAAAGGTGATAAGTAACATAGGATTTCTGCTGTGCGGCTGTTGCTTCTGGAGGCAGTGGCTGCGACAGCAACTCGGAAAGGCTTGCCATCAGATTATCTGACAACCCCTGACCTGCGCTGTTAGGTCTGGAGAGGGGACTGGATGCGACACAAAAAGGTACACTTACATGTTTGTCCCAGTCTTCTATACTCGACTCGACTCTCGCCACAAGCTCTTTCAACACCCGCAACTGGTATCGAAGTGGTGGGGGGTGATCCAAGGCCGAATGGTCGAACAGCCGAGAGTATAGCTCCTCTTGCACAGCATCTTCCCTGAGGATGGCGATGTCTGGAAAATCCAATGACTGCTCTGCCTGGAAGTACTGGAAACAGAAACGGTTAATCTGCGACTTCTCCTGGGCCTCACACTGCAGGGGCATGGCACTAATATTGGTTCATCTGATATTCGGAGACGAGCATTTGAGTCTGAGCTACAATCTTGTTGGGCGAATATGAGAGCTTTAATGAGTTCCAGATAGCCTCAATTTTGACTAAACAGAGGTCGCTGTTCAGGCGCTAAATGTTCTTCGCTACAGGCTTGCATTGCACTAAATTGCCTCTACCTCCCCACCTGGATATCCATTAGATCACTGACAACAGCGACCCGCTCAGACATATGGTGTCATGTGATCACATATCCAGGATAACGGGGCAATTGGTGAAGCTATCTAGGTAGGTACCCAGGTAGGTAGTGGACTGGGCTTATTGAGCATCTAGTAGCTACCAAGTCTGTTCCGAGCAAGGGTCGATCCACGATCTCTTCAAGTCTGACGATGATTACTGGGGTCTTTCCGGTGCGCTCCATGGAACGGCTTTTGTTGGATCGTGTTTGCAACCAGATACCCGCTAGCTACCAACTGTACATTTATGCTGGGCTATTCCTAGAGTAGATTAGCTGGGGGAGCTCCTGGGCTACGTAAGGGTGCTTAGGTGCGCACTCGGAGGGTCATTTGCTCTATCACATGATCTGCAGTCGTTGAAGCCTTACATTTGGGGCATCGACCTTCACGTTAGGGTTCGGACCCAATTAAGCGACACGGCTCGGAATTTTCTGCTCGGCCTCCACTCCACTCCCAGGGCTCAGCGAAAGTCGAAGCGAAAAATCGTCTACCTCTCGCCCGCCGCCTGCCTCTTGTTCTCTGCCCAGTTCGTTGAGAGAGACAGATTCACCTGCATCCCAACACCACAAACATGGCGGACGCAGACACCCCCGTTACCCTGCGAACTCGCAAGTTCATCCGCAACCCTCTGCTGGGTCGCAAGCAAATGGTCGTGTGAGTACAGCCTCAGTCTTCCTCGGCCATCGCGCCGATGTTACGCCATCACCAAGACCACCCTCCCGCCTCGTTTCCCTGGTCGATCAATTCTTGTCGCGACGAACATACACAATCTAGGCCACGAATTATGCACCGACTTGAAGAGATTTGACGACGGGTCTCACCGATGACTAGATGTTCGAGGACAAACCCGCCTGGGGAAGGATGGCGGGGATGGGTTTCGGGCGAGCCTGGAGAACGTAGTTGCTGACCTTTTTTGTTTGTTCACAGTGACATCCTGCACCCCGGCCGCGCCAACATCTCCAAGGATGAGCTCCGCGAGAAGCTCGCCGGCATGTACAAGGCCACCAAGGACCAGATCAACGTCTTCGGCCTGCGCACGCAATTTGGTGGCGGCAAGACCACCGGCTTCGCCCTGGTCTACGACTCCCCCGAGGCGATGAAGAAGTTCGAGCCCCACTACAGACTGGTCCGCGTGGGCTTCGCTACCAAGATCGAGAAGGCGAGCAGACAGCAGCGTACGTATTTTCCACGCATCGTTTTGGTATTCGGCAGGACTGGATGAGAGACACGGGGAGAACTGAACACCCTCTGATCGTTGGGCACATTGAAATTGTCGGCTGACACATCTTTCTCGAACAGGCAAGCAGCGCAAGAACAGGCAGAAGACGCTCCGTGGAACGGCAAAGGTCAAGGGCGCGAAGGCGAAGAAGGAGAAATAAACGGCTGGTTGGCGTCGCATATTTCCTTCTCCTCTTCGGGTTCACTTCCAGGGCGAGTTGGTTGGGCATTCCTGTGGCTTTGTGCAAACATACAAAAATGGCATCTTTGCATCCGACAATCGAGATGGCACGATACATCTGAATGACGGTCAATCATGGAGGCGTGACGGATGGGCTTCGATGATTCTTCTCAGCTATAGCATACAATACAGAAATTGCATGTTTGGCAACAGACATTGACTATGGCATTCGCGTTGGTGCATCTACCCGGGCTCACAGATATCATTCTCAGCGGTTCCCGCATTCTTGCTTTCCACAGTCACTTCTGTCGCAAAAGATCCTTCTATGTCGGCTGCTGGCATACCCTGCGCAATTCCAAAGCAAATTATATTGATCTTCCACAGAGTTCGAATGTTTTCCTGCAAATAGTGACTGGGTGACTCGAGAGGTAAGAAGGCTCGGATCATGTGGCACCGGGAGTTAGGGGATCGTTCAATTTATTCAGGTCCGAAAGGGAACGAAACAGGCGAAAATGGGGGAGGTAAAGTTGTTATAAGCTGAATTTCATGGCAAAGTGATTAACAAGGAGGTTCGTCAATGTCGATACTTGACATTGCATACGAAGGGCGTTTATCACATACCAAGGGATGCTGTTGTATGTATTCCTGGGTACAGTTTCGTATATGGACACTGCACCTCAGGCTTTTGTGATGGAATGATTGCTAATGGAAACATTTCTTGATCTAATCTAGGTGACAACGCCATGCAATGGTATGATCATTGGGTATCGTCACTCCTCCTGTATTAGATATTTACAGTTGCCTTGGATTCCGGTGCCTGACTGGCAGTAACTCGTCTGGTACTGGCAGTCTTTGCATTTCCACGTGCAGGAAGGCTGGCTCCTCTCAAACTGCGGTTCTGTTTCTGTGACCCTCTGACAATTCTCAAGGACTCTCCTCCCTTATAATTGTCATCTATGCCATCTTCGGCATAATATTCAGAGTACTCCGGCTCCGGACTGCTGGTCATGAGAGACACGAGTTGCGACCCAGCCGGGACAGTGAATCCTGTAGTGCCTCCACGTTGATCGCGTGTCCTCGGAAGACTTGGTGGCGAGACCGATTCCTTGAATGTTTTAACGTCTCTCTTCGTACGAGATAGGGTAGAATCAACTCCCGAAGTTGTTGTCGATTCTCTGACAAAGCTTTTACTTTGCTTAGAACTCCCATTGGCGCCTGGCGAGTCCTTGATTAAGGTCGAAGTAGTACCAATTGGGGACTCCTCATCGCTCGCTTCATCGAGCCTGCGCATAGCGGCCTCGTATGCCTCATCTCCATCTCGTACATTTGTGGACTGTGCTTTCTGTGAAGGCAAGCATGCTCTAGAAGGGCCGCCCACAGCTCCTAGTTGTGATGCAGTGTGCCAAACTTGACTGAGAGAGGGAATGGAGCTCGCACTGGATATATCGGATGCCGCAGGGCTTGATGGAAGCTGTGGCCTAGTTGTCGTCGTATCCGACTCTTGATCATGACTATCTTGCGAGGTCAATGCCAGTTGCTTTTGCGATGGGATCGAGTCATCTGCTGCGCCGACGGATTGGGAAAGTGAGCCATTCAGTAGATCATGACTCAACGATTGATCGGGCTGTCGTCCACTGTGCACACTATCAGCAGTTGATAGCATGTTCAAATTTGGGTAGTCGACCTTAGCCATAGTTTCGCCTGTTCCTTCGACGTGGTCCACAGGATCATCATGCTCAGCTAAACCATCAACGTGTGGCTGAGACTCAGTGAGTGGTTGATGAGAAGACTGTCGCGAAGCCTGAAGGGACGCAGCATACGCTGCTTCGGACATCTCTTCCAATTGACGCGAAGGACTATTGTTGGAACCGCGGCTATTAACCGAAGGTGTCACGTCTCTGCATGTCCCAGCGTTGGTAGTTATAAGACTGAGTTCCACTTGAGGATGCTCATTCTCCAGTATCACTTGGCCGGGCTGAGTCGAGACAGACAAGCTAGACGCGCCATTATCTATATTCGCAATGACGCTCTCAAAGCCTTGGCCATCGAGATCCATCAGCTCTCCACTCTCAAAGCGCTTTTCAAAACCGCTTCGGCCAATCGTGGTCGACAGGTCCAGGCTGTTGTGTGTCTGGTGGTTTGGTTGGCTATCAGCAACAATTTCAGCAATTTGAACTGACTCCAAGGGCTGTTGAACTATCCGCGGTTTATCCAGATCCGAGAATGACAAGGTTCGGTAGCCTTCGTCTCCCAAATGATCTAAATCGTCGTCATCCAGATCCGGGGCTTCAAATCGGTCGTACACCCGCTGACCTGTCTCTTTATCGTAACTCTTCTCATTGCGATCAAGATTTCGGTCACGGCGAGCGAGCAACACCTCCATCATCAGGCCATCTTCCTTGACGCTGGTGACAATGCCAGTGAGGTTTGACACTTGAGGCTGCCATCCTGTAGCACTGGACAGAAGCCATGCCGTCCATGTAATAACCATTCCAACCTGCGCATCGCCAGGTTGGAGTAGGGGCAGGGATGACAGATCTGAGGGCAAAGACGGTAGGTCATCTAGGTCCGTTATTTGACTCTCAGCCGCAACCTGGGCCTTACCCGGTTTCAGTGGTCCGTCGTTATAGTTCAGTTCGATGTTATCAGTGCTGAGTTCAGCTTCGACTATGTACGAGCTGTCGAATGGCTGTTCTGTCGCGCGGGAGACTTTTTGCTTCTTGGACGCATGTTGAACGTCATCATCTTGATAAAACTGTGCTTGATTGCGCTGCTTCCGCTTACCCTTCCCTCCGCGACTCTGTTGTTGAGGGTCCCATCGCTGGACAAAAGGGAACGGGGGCTCGCTCAGAGTAATGTCTTCTTGACAGCATTCAACCGCACGATAGTTGATTTTCGCCTTCCAGTCCTCATGGCCATCGTCCGCATCTTCGGAAATAGGAGCCGGCTTGCTTACGCCGCTTATCTCCCCGGATTTGTTTTGCTCGACGCGCGTATTGATAAGCGGACGGACACCTTTCATCAGGTTAGCACGAATTTTGTCCGCATCTGGTTTATTCTTCGGGGCTTTCAAGCCCAAAGCACCAAATAACAATCGTTGGCCGGCGGAGACATCAAGGCGCATCCTTCGTTGTGATGAAGTGGTGTCAGGGCTCTCAATGACTACCGAGCTAGATGTGTCGGTGGCCTTGGGGGGTGATCCGATGAGTGCTTCAATCTCTTCGATTACATCCTGACTGCCACTCGATTGGTCTACAGATAACCGTTCCATAAGCACCTGTTTTCTTGCTGAAAGCTCGGAGTCTTGTTTCTCGGGCTCCGTTCCATCTGGAACAGCCGGGAGATACGAATTAGCTGCATCAACAGCCAGACCAGAATTAGCCTGCTTTGCAGCCCGTCTCCTAGCATTGCGTTTCTGCGTTTTTGACTTGCCCTGGCCTGGCGGGACCGGTGTAGCCTCCTTGACGCTAGTAGTTGAAGGAGGCTGTACATTGCGCGCACCCATTGATGACATCTTGACGAGTTGACCAACGCTGGCCGTAGCAGCTTTCCATTTGGAAATCGAAGCATCGTGGTCTGACTCTGAATCGGATTCAGATTCCGAACTTGAGGAGTCGTCGCTGCTGCTATCATCTGACGAAGTATGATCGCTGCTATCTTCGCCCGAAGAAGATGCATTGGGACTAGCACTGGCAGCTTTGTGCTTGGTCTCATCGGCATCGTCCTCGTCGTCATCGTCGTCACTAGAGCTAGAATCACTGCTGCTTCTATCACTCGCAGCGTCAGAGGCGTCATCATGGCTCCGATCTGCCTTTGCAGGAGCTTCCTCTGGTCCGCTGTCGCTTTCAGAGCCACTGTCTGAATCGCCACTTGATGACGATGATTCAGGCTCAGAATCAGACTCCATTCCCTTGTCGTTCTCCCCTGCTTCGCCATTCGAGCTTGAGCTTGATTCAGAATCCGAGCTCGAACCACTGCTAGATGTAGCGTCATCGTCTACTGCCAGTGATGTGGTGCTTCTTGCCGTAGCCGATAGGGTTGCGCTAGGTTCTTCTGTGTCAAATTTCTTGTTGACCAGTTTCATGGCATTCAAGGATCGTGAATCCCTTAGTGCCTGGGCCATATGAGATAAGGCATTGCCGGCAGCAATAGACCCAGGAGGGAAGCCATGCTGGTCGAAGTGTCGAGTGACAGAGTCCACTTCATCGTCGCTGCTGACCTCGCTCATCCCATCCGTATGTTGTTCTGGCGAAGACTGGTGCAAGGACTTCTTGTAGGCCAGCATATCCTCGAAATCCATTTGAGGTTGGTGGGACTTGGAAAGCTTCTTGTAGATTCTCCTCTCATTCTTAATTTTTGATAGAAGTTTCTCACAGTGCTCAACCGTCACTGATGGGAACGCAGCTCGTAGCGCCGTAATACGATCCAGGATGGCCAGGTCCAGCCGGCTGTCCAGACCCCTTTCAACGACCAAAGCTTCTTCATCGTCTCCCCACCCCTCCATCTCTGCAACCTCTTCACGAAGGGCATTGAGTTCGTTGGCATCGATGGTAGATTCAAGATCATCTAGATCCATGTCATCGTCCCCATCGTCATCGGCACTCTCAAGCCCAAAGTTGTCGTCACCATCTTCTTCCCGTTCTACTGCTGCGTCCTCAGCACTCGTATCGGCATCTTCAAAGTCAGCGATCACTCGCACGCTCGTTGGATCGTCAGACTCTTCCTCCTCCAGCTCGCCGTGTTCCGTGAGAAGTAAAGGTTCTTCATCGTCCCGGGAGTCCTCGTCCTCTTCGTCCGTGTCTTCGCCATCTTCATCATCGTCATATCCGCCTTCGCTATCGTCCTGTTCAAGGCTTGTTGGAGTCTCATCATATGTGATTCTGCGCCGCTTCCGAGGCGATATGTGAATCGAAGGCCGGTTTCTTGGAACTTTCAGACGCTGTCGTCCGAAAGCTACACCGTCGATCAAGTGTTTGCCGTCAGAGGAGATCTGGTACCGGCCACTTAATCTGCGCTTCTTGACATCCTCGGAGAACAAAGGTCGAATGCTGAACATAGAATCAGCAGCTGTAAGGTGAGGAGGCCAACTCCATATCGTCCTAAGGGCGTACTCACAAGACTTCCTCATCCTTCTCCAGTATGGTTGCCACGGGCTGGAAATGTAGGCACTCAAAGGGGTGGCCCTCGCTGTCTCGCAACTCTACGACGTAATCTTCGAGGCCCCATTCGCCGCTCTCGAGGGGTATGGTCTCGTTAACAAATTCCACCAGCTTGGACACAGTCGGGTCGTGCTCGAGGGGTACGTTGAAGACGATCCTCACCTCGGGCAGGCCGTGACGCCTAACCACGAGGCGGAGGCGAAGGCTCTTCTCCTTCATCTCCGGCGATCAGCGGCGGAGAGCTGGCTAGGAGAAGTGCGGGTAGCTGGGAATACGCATCGGAGATGGTGTGAGCCGCGAAACGGTTTGGGCAGACACCAGCTAAAGTATTAAAACTCAATGTACTGAAGGTTCACAAACTGACATCAAGAATCTCGAATTTGAGGTACTTGGGTACTTTGGGAGGCTGCAGTTGGTCAGAGCTCCTAGTGAGTCGCACCTGGCTGCACTCAACCTTTGATCCAAAGGTCCCCTGGCGCGCTCCACCCGCCAAACCTTTGGCCTGTGATTTTTAGATCTTGTTAGGCCTACAGCACTCCCTGGGTAATTTTCAGGCCCGCCAATCTCAAGGCCATTGCCTGCCAGCGAGCTGTTTTGCGAGCACACACATTGAGTACATTTCCAAAGTGAAGGTGACAAGAGCCAGAACCGGGTGGGCAGAGTCTCTATAACCCAAATTTTTTTTTCTCCAATAAGAGAGTAATATCTGCTACACGAGCATGGCTTACTTGGCCTGATATCCAATAAATTGCACTAAAGCCCCCCCTACGATGCATATGCACAACCAGTTACAGACCCAATGCTCCTTAAACCCAGAACGCCTTCTAACTCGCCCGGTAAATGTACGACAATGCTAACACTTGAGCACTTGGCTATTTACGAACCTCAACACGGGAGAGCCCTCTTCATTGAGGCGGCATAGATCCCATGTCAAGCATATGTCCCATCTTTTCGATCTGGAAATCGTTGTCAGCGGGTTGAGCATACTACAGATTGCGCATGCAGACGTACCTTTGTTTTGAGGTAGCCTTCCACCTCTTTGCTCTTGAAGCCCCCTCGCCCTCTCCAGCTCAGGGGCACCATGGCCACTCTCTCCTTGACGACGATCTCGCGGTTCGGGCCCTCCACCGCCCTGATCTTATCTGGGTTGTTGGTGAGGAGCCGCACTTCTGTCTGCCCGAGATCCTGCAGCATGGCCGTGGCCAGTCCATAGCTCCGGGCATCGGCCGGATGGCGGAGCAGCAGATTCGCCTCGACCGTGTCCGAGCCGAGATCCTGCAGATTGTATGCCTTCAACTTCTCGCCCAGGCCAATGCCCCGCCCCTCCTGCCTAAGGTAGACGATGATGCCGCCTGCCGTGTTGCCAGGCAGGGACATCAGCCTGGCCGCCTCGTCGAGCTGCTCGCCGCAGTCGCACCGGGCAGACCACGCCGTCTCGCCCGTGTAGCACTCGCTGTGGATGCGCACGAGGGGGATCTCGCTCCCCCGGGGCGCCGCCTGTGGCGCATCACCGTGCTTCTGATCATCTGCGCCCCGGCCACTGGCCATGCCGCTGGTCGTCCGGCCCGGGTAGAGTCTGCCAACGTACGCGCCCCGCACCATCCGGTCCATCTCGGTCTCGCCCTCCCTGGGAGCGTCGAGGCTCTTACTTCGAATGTTGTTGCCAAAGACAATGGCGAGGTGCTCCTTGTTGTCGACGTCGTTCGTGTACAGGTGTAGAAACATCTCGGTGCCATTGACGGTAGGAATACGCGCACGCACAATGCACTGCACATTGGGCAGGCGCTCCACCAGACGAGGCTTCTTGGTGCCACAGCCCCCATCAGGATCTGAAGAGTCGACGGGGACTCCGCGAGGTTGCGACGGCGCCGGGGCCGCTGAAGAGGAGGAGGGTCCGAAGACGGAGGAGGCGGCTGTGGCAGGAGTCGAGGTCCCCGGGGTGGACGGCGGGGTGAAGGAGGGACTTAGGAGAGACGGAGGGGGCGGCTGTGTCGGTTGAGTAGAGGTTGAGGTGGTGGATGCCGCATCGTCAATGTCGTGGTCCGCCGACGGAGGCACGGCCGATTGTTGGCTATGTGCATTTCGCTGGTTTGAGGGAGGTTGTACTGAGGACTGTGATAGATCATGGCGCTCGACGTCACTATCGCCAGGTTCGGGGCCGTTCTGCGGCGTCGTCCTCGGAGAGTAGAAGGACGGCAGGCTGTTCCCTCCCTGTTGCCACTGGTTCGCCATGCTCATTGCCGTGTGTAGCTGGAGGCCGGGCATGCTGGAGGAGGAGGAGAACGGAGCAGGAGAGAGGCGGCAAATGTCCCAGCGGCCGGTTAGAAATGGGGATCGGGCCTGGAGCGGAGGAGTTTCCGGGTGGCAGTTGCAATGGCGGGGCTAACGTATTAGCTCATAGGCACCGCACAGCACGCACGCATGCACTGATCAGCCGGGGTAGGTAGGTTACTGCGGTAGGGTAGGTACCTGGGTATGGTTCCGATCCGAAGAGCCGATGCTCGAGTGCTGAAATTTGTGACTACGGCCCTGAGTTCTCGACAGCCTCACAGGTCGTGGAGTTCAGAAGTTGGATCGGAGGGTCAATTTGCCAGAAGGCTTATCATCCAGTTGCTCTATTTTGGCGGTTATTCATTGCCTTTAACCGTCAGAATACATGATCAATTCCCAGCAAAATGTTCCATTAGTCATGCCCGCCCGCCTTCGGTAGACGCCCTGTGCGGGATGAATGACACTTTTCCAGGCCTAAGTTATTAGCGAAGAAAATTGTTCGCCGAGGTTCCTCCAGGGCTTGCAGAGAAGTCTTATGCCGGGATCTGCGGGGCTTTCCAAGTCTGTTGCTGGCGCATCGGGCATGCCAGGCTTAGGAAGCAGGCACTCGCCGTCAGTAAGCATGACATATGATTAGTGTCCATACATAGTACAGAGGTGGAGGACCAATTCTGTACTGGCGCACAGACAGTTCATGACAGGCACATGAGATTGATTTCTTTTGCATATCAAGCATGTCATATCTCGTCTGCACAGGCATCCCCAGAAGTCTACTGAAAATTGATTGGGTCTGTCTAGTTGGTTCCGAGTCCGTGGTGATGTGTAGGTAAGGTAGATGATAAGGAGCACAGCATCCCTGTCATGACGCTTGTATATGGTCCTTATGCACGTCTAAAGGCTTCGAACATTTCTCACCACATGCGCCATACTTGAAATTCCCCTAGGTAGCCGAGGCGCCCTCGAAAGGTCCTTCTCGAGGCACGAATCCGCTCGCCAGCGTCAACTCTCTGCCCAGCTCCAGTAGTTGCTCGTCCCTCCCCGCCTGGCCGATCAGCGTCACGCCAAACGGCATCTGGCGGCCGTTCTTGTTCGTCCAAGTGCCGGTCGGAACGGCCACGGCGCACAGGTCCAGGAGGTTGACAAAGTGTGTGAAGCTGCCCATCAGCTTGTTCCGCTCGATCGGGTCCTCGTCGATCTCGGCCACTGTGAAATGCGTCACCGTGCTTGGGACGACCAGCACGTCGATGTTGTCTCTGAACTGCTGCTCCGCCTGCCGCCTGTACAGCTGAAGGTCGAAGATGTCCTTGTATGCTCGCACCGCATCGAAGCCCGAAGAGGCTTCAAAAATGGCCTTGATCACGGGGTGCAGCTTGGAGAGCCCGTGGACTGAGATGTAATCGTCAAAAGCCACGATGCGTTGGGCGACAATCGAGGAACCATACAGCATGTTATTGGCAGACTGGAAGGCGTCGTACTCAAAGGCTGCCGGGATAAGGTTGAGATCTGATTCCAGGGTTCGAACTGCGGTCGAGAAGAGAGCAGCGTAGTCTGGAGACAGAACCTTTAGGAGGTCGTCTGGAGGCACGCCGAATCGAACCTCGTTGGTTCTTGTGGACCAGCTCCAAGGCCACGAGGGCGGCAGCCTTCGAGCGTAGACATCCTCCTCGTCGAACCACTTCATCACATCCCAGGCCGACTTAACGTCATCCACCGTCCTAGCAATAATGGTGATGCAGTCTGCTGTCTTGCAAGCGGGAACGAGACCAACGGTCGACAAAGTGCCCAGCGTTGGCTTGAAGCCGACAACTCCATTCAGGGACGCTGGGACTCTCGTACTCCCAGCTGTGTCCGTTGCGACAGTAAAAGAGACCAGGCTCGCAGCAACGCTCACCACCGACCCAGATGAGCTACCACCTGAGATGTACTCGGCATCATAAACACAACGAGGGGTACCGTATGGAGAACGATTACCGTTCAAGCCGGTCGCGAATTGGTCCAGGTTAGTCTTGCCGATGAAGATCCCGCCGGCATCAAGGATCCTTTGCACCACTGGTGCAGTGCGATTCGCCTTGTAAGCATATGATGGGCAAGCTAGGGTGGTGTCGTATCCTTCAACATCGATCGAGTCCTTCACCGAGAACGGTATCCCATACAGTGGCAGAGTTGTCGTTGGGCCATGCGTCGCGAGTGTCCTGGCCCGTTTGATTGCATCCTCCTTGAGGGCTACAGAGATCCAAACAGCTCTATCATGGTAGGCCTCCAGTCTCTCGTATACGGACTCAATGACATCCACTGGAGACAAGTCTCCGTCCAGGTAGCTCGAGAGTAGATGCTCAATAGCAAAATTGACCACGAATTTACCCATCCTTGCAACTAATTTTCAAACTTATTAAGCATGCTGAAATTTGAAATTCATATGATCCATGATGCTGGCCTGATAGCTTTAAATGCGCTTTGACTAGCCTTAGTGATACCATGAAGTTGTTTAGCCTATCCACTGTGCCGGAGTAGGGTCGGAATAGGGTGAGTAGTGCTCGCGGCTCTGGTGCAATCGATACCGAAGTCGCCGGCGGCCAGTGGACGGCGGCGGCCGAAGGCCACTGATAAGCTCCCCGCTTACCTTATGGAATGCCCTCATCGGCAACAAGCGTCCTTTACAATTATGGGTTTGTCTCTTATATCTAGAGCGTATGCTCGTCAAATCGTCTTTTGAAATGGCACGATGGGCCGAAATCCCGGTTGATAGCCATGGCCGCAGTCAACGTTCTCAAATTCGGTGTCTCTTCGCCAGCAGACACATTGCCGCTTGACCAACTGAAAGCCGCCGGATACGAGCCTTCTCAAGTACTTGGACTGGTTGGAAAGACTGAAGGTTCGTAAGAATTACTTTTCCGAATTGGTGATCTCTTGGCTTACGCAGAAGTAGGGAATGGCTGCGTGAACGACTTCTCAAGAACTCTTAGCACAGTTGTGTGGGAGCGTTTGCTATCTCCAGATGCTGTCACTGTCTTCTCGGGAGGAACAGAAGGCGTTCTCAGCCCTCATGTCACATTTATTGTTAGAGAAAAGAACCAGGAAGAGACAGGACTCAGAGCAGCCGTCGGGAGGACAAGGTCACTTGAACCTCATGAGATTGGTACACCAGAACATGCGCGACAAGTCCAAGAGACCGTGACCAACATGATCAAGTCGATGGGTGTCACGAGAGAGCTCATTCGCCTAGTCTTGATAAAATGCCCGTTGCTAACGTCAAGCAAAATTGAAGCAATCAGAGCAACCGGCAAGTCACCCATCACAACAGACACCTACGAGTCCATGGCCAAATCGAGATATGCCAGTGCCGTGGGCATTGCAGCTGCTCTAGGTGAAATCGCTGCCGACGCATTGAAGCCTGCTGTTTTGGCAACGTCATCAGAGGAACAGATATGGTCTGCCAAAGCCAGCTGCAGCTCTGGTGCAGAGCTGGAAGACAACCACATCCTCGTGCTTGCTTCGTCGCCAGTGACGGGTGGCCATTTGCGAGCGGTGTCAAGTTACATGGGTGACGCAATTGACGCGAAGGCCATCATGGGGCTGCTGGAGAAGGCCAACAACGATGGAGGGGAGGTTGTGCAGATGTTCGCAAAGGCAGAGGCAGATCCAACCGGCAAGATTCGTGAGAAAAGGCACACGATGAACACGGATAGCGATATTCACAGCACCCGCCATGCCAGGGCGGCCGTTGGCGGACTGATTGCCGGATTGACAGGGGACACGCAGGTTTATGTTAGTGGAGGGGCTGAAGGGCAGGGCCCGGTTGGAGGCGGAAGTCTGTGTCTTATTTATCGTTTGTCAGGCTGATAACAGAGGTGCCTTGGGAAAGAATCGCGGCAATGAAAGGAGAAATGCACATACTCATCCATGCCGCAGGCCTTGATTTTGAATCATCAACACTGCGGCTCAGTCAAATGCAGAGTCGCTATGCAGAGGTGATCAACACTTTCGCACAGGTAAAGTGCCTCTGTCATTGCAGGGGTAGTAAGCAGTCTTGATTTGTATTAACAGCTGGCATTTAATGGCACAAGAAGACCTGTAAGTGCGTGCACAGGTGAGAGTGGCCGGTGGGCTGAAGTGAAGACCGTTGATGTCCGTGATGTCTCCACAGCTTATTAGAGTATCAAGAACAGAGGCAAATTCCGATTAATATTCACATCATCAACAAGTAGTCGAGCCAATTTTGGATGGTTAAATTCATTAAACCTCGCATTTCAATCAAAACTCCGTACTGCAAATTTTACAGTTGTCATGAATGAAATGTACCGTATCTGTACAGTAATTAATTATACGTCGCTATCTATGCCGTCACCCCTCCAAACAGTTTACTCAGAGTGGAAGGTGGAGTGACGGTGACAGTGTGTGTCTGCCTACGACAACCACGTAACCTCCACGCAATGCTCGACACCGCGACCATCCATCACCCTACATCGCTCTTGATCTCCGTATGCGATACAAGAACTGAAGTGCCATTCATCATCGTTCCATCTGCTATCTAACTCAGATCAGAGTGCTGACTGTACTATACGATCACACAATGCTTATTGCCCCAAAATTCACACCAGAAGTCCTCATTGAGGCACCGCGGCGGGGTGCTGCTATTCCAAATTACAATGGAACATTGGCTCTCTACACAGTATCCACGCATACTATCGGAAAGGGTACCCTGAAGGAAGTTCGAGTTATGAACATTGAAACAGGAGACTCGGCCCAGATCAGCGACAGTAGCGAGGTTCGCGAAGCCAATTGGCTTGGTGACAATTCGAATACGATCATCTATCTAAAGTCGGCAGAAAAAGGCGTCACTCTTGTCATGGTCGCAAATGCAGACGACCCTTCCAAAGAAGCGTATATCGTTGAAGAGATCCCGGCCCCGGTCAGCCAACTCAAGGTTAAGGAGCTTGAGGATGGTTCTATCGCTTTCGCAATCGTGGGCTTAGTTGATTCAGATGGCAACCTTTTTAATGAGAAGACAGTCGAGACCAAATCAACCGTGAGGGTTTATGATACCTACCAAGCACGTTTTGTGAGCCTCCCTTCAGCCATTGTCTTGCATAGCTTCCTATAACGACTAATGAGCGATGCTGTTATAGTGGGACTCATACCTCAAACCCCAGAAGTATACAATCTGGTACTCTAAACTTGTCCAGTCCAACAACAAGTGGACACTGACTGCGCCATTATATAACGCCATTCCTGGATCCAATATTGAAGCTCCCATGGGAATGTATGACGGGCTCTCTGGCGGCACTGGTGCCTTCGATATCTGCAGTGCTGGTATTGTGTTCGTCGCAGAAGATCCCGAGAACAAGGATCCGTTCTATCAGGGCATATCAGATGTGTACTATGTGCCCCTGGAATCTTTCTCCTCGGCGAGTACAAAAGAGGCTGGAAAAGTGCCAATAACTCAAGACAGTAGTCCAGCTGCATACTCGAACCCTAGATTCAGTCCAGATGGCTCGATGATAGCGTTTTTAAGGCGTCCCCTAAGTCGCATGCAAGATAATCGTATTTACCTAGGACACATCGACGACTATGGCGCTTTAGATGTCTTCAGAATGGTCACTGGGACCGAATGGGACCTCATTCCAGAGAGCTTTGAATTCACTCTCGATGGTCACTCGCTCCTTCTACAAGCTCAAGATTGTGCAAGACTCGGTCTTTACGAGCTGGAGCTTCAGCCTCATGCAAAACCAAAGACCATCCTTCGGAGTGGGTCTGTCTCCGCATTTTATCCCCTCGTGAGAAGTACAGGTAACAAAGGTAATAAGCTCCTAGTCACTTGGACCAGTCTTGTAGAGAACTCGCTCTACCAGATCATCGATGCCAAGGGACGCGAAGGCCCAAAGGTCGTTTCATCGGCCTCGAAGAATGGGTCGAGGCTTGGTTTATCTCCACATCAGGTATCTGAGATCTATTTCGAAGGTGCAGGTGACTATTGCGTGCAAGCATGGGTCGTCAAACCTCGCGATTTTGATGAGAAAAAGAAATATCCTCTGGCCATGATAATTCATGGCGGGCCACAAAGTGCCTGGTTAGAGGCATGGAGTACACGAGTGGGTCCTTCGAGTCGTTCTTGGGCTTTTTAAACAGGACTGCTGCTGATCTGATTTCAGTGGAACCCGGCTGCTTGGGCCGAGCAGGGCTACATTGTTGTTGCTCCAAACCCAGCTGGTAGTACTGGGTTTGGAATAGATTTCACTGAGCGTTCGTACATCAAGTAAACCTGGCTTCCTGTCATTAACTAATTTAACAGTTGTTCATGGCTCTTGGGGTGGCTTGCCCTATCAGGATATCGTCAATTGTCTCGAATACCTGAAAGACATGCCTGGGATAGACCTTGATAATGCGGTCTGCGGAGGTGGCAGTTACGGTGGCTATATGGTCAATTGGATCAATGGAAATTCTTTGGGACGCAAGGTCAGTCGATTCAATCCTTGAACGAACAGACATATCTTATATATCGTTTAGTTTAAATGCCTAGTATCCCATGATGGAATCTACCATCTTCCAGCGGCCAACATGATGAGCGATGCTGTCGGCATTCAGGAGGATTTCTTAGGTCCCCCGTATATCTGGGATACGAAAAGCAATGAAGAGATGGAAAAATGGAACCCGGCTCGTCCAGATCTACTGAAGAATTGGAAGACGCCTATGATGATTATTCACAGTGACAAAGACTACAGATGCCCCGTAACAGATGGCATAGCTGCACATACGACTCTGCAGTCCTTAGGCACTCCTAGCAGGTTCGTAAACTTCCCTGACGAGAACCATTTTGTTCTCAAAGAAGAAAATTCTCTTGCGTGGCACCGTTTGGTCTTCGAGTGGACAAACAAATGGTCGGGTGTCGACAAAGGGAAACGCGAGTGATCAAAAACACCCAGAATGAAAAACAGGATATGATAAGTTAAAAAATATGAGCTATCACATGAGTACATTCTTTATAAGGGATCGTTTTCTGCTTTGTTTCCAAAATACCTCTATCCTGAGCTGAGTTCTGACCTATTGGCGATCGATCCAACAGTAGGCAACTCGGTGACTTGCTGATGTGGATAATGACCCTGAGGAAAAGAGTGTGTACTTTGTTGGCCCGGAGACACCGGACCTGCTGAAAGCTCATTTGGATAGATACTTGGTTGTTGTGGTGAAAGTCCCCCGGCTTGATCATATTGCTTGTACTCCCCAGTATGTGGATCATAGTACATCAGTTGCTGTTGATAATCCAGGGGGAATTGTTGGTTTGGCGAAGAGCTACCCATGCCAGGCTGCGCAGATTGTTGTTGCATTACCTGCTGTTGAGGAGTGGCTTGGTAACCATTGTCCTTACGTTTGTTCCGGATGAGCAAGAAGAATATGAGAAAACCAATCAGTGCAATAACCGCAACTCCGCCGATCGTTCCGCCAACAATAGCTCCGACAGGAGTCGATTGTTTGTGGCCATCATCGCCACTGCTGCTTGATCCAGTACTTCCTTCGCCTCCTAAGGTAGTAGTCGTACTTGGTATTAGTGATGATGGCGAAGCATTCAACGGCGTATTACTGCTGGAAGAGGAGGTGGTTTCGAAGGTGGTGGTGGTTGAAGCCGTGATCGCCGGAGGTGTCGCGAGTAACGTATCTATCCCACCATAGTTCTGGCACTCTAAGAGCGAGAAGATCCTCCCAGGTGTCGCACTCGTAGAGAAGATAAGCGTGTAGCACGACGGGGATTCAGACCAGCTAGACATAGTCAGTAAGTCAATCACCAATTGCGTAAGTGTTACATAGAGCATACCAACATATTGTCCTCGGTCCAGCACTCTTGCAAGCTCCCTTTTGTGAAGCTGAGAAGTCTAAGCATGACGAAAACATAGTCGATGTGCAATCAGTATATTCGCCTGTGCAGCAATCAAGGTTTCCAACGCCATCGTTCGTGCAGTAAGCAGACTCTTTCACACATGTCACAGGCGCGGCTGCACAAAAATATTAGCTCAACTTCGCAGCTTCATCGTGATGGTTTATGAGTGATCCAGTTGGCTTACATGAATAACCTGAGACAAAACCGCATGTATCTGTCCCCATTGTGAAGCTTTCGCGTCTGAGCAACTCCATTTGGCCGAATCGTGCCCCAGGATCTGGGGTTGGCGAGCTCCAACTAGATTCAGTCAGTACGCGGGGTCCCGTCTTTTGCGCAGGCGTCCAGGAGCGGTCATTCGACCGTCGAAAAGCTGGAGTGAAGGCATCTATGGTACAGAAGAAAGGAGCAAGAGCGAAGAGAGTGCTGAAGCGCGACATCATCATCACGATCACATCAGATTGAATACCAACCTCAATTGATGAGGAAGTCTATGTTCGATTGCGACATGACGAGAAAAGCAGCTACTGATGAGTGGCTTGTAGGTGGTCGATATATGAGCCGTCCACGAGTGGCCCCATCAGAGTCTAGCCGCATCTATATACGAGGGGCAGCGCGAGAGATATCTTTGGCACTATAAACAAGAAATATGCAGGCGAGAGGTGCTTGTCCGATGATTCGTGGACGAGTTCAAACTACCTTTCAGCTGAAAGACGCGGGCGTCGACTTGGGTGGCCAGTGGCCACACGAGCGAAAGCTCCTCAATGTGGCTGAAGCCACCGAGTTCGAATTTACTTCTTTTCCGAAACGCGGCTCGAAAAGGTAAATCTGCTTCTCACTTGCCTCAAAGTTTTGGTTTGGCTGTAAGTTTCACACTTATTCACGACCCTTTACTGGTAACGTAACGATCTCATAGAGCACGTATTCAAGTACATCGCCAAGAGGATCAATTATAAGCTCGGGATAATTGCTGGCCGATTTCTTCTGCAGAACCTATAGCGCTGATTGGATGAATTCCCTTGGTGACTCTAGCAACCCCACTTGAATTGGATGTGTTATTAGATATGGACTTTATTTTGGCTGGAAGATTATTGTCACGCTAGAGTATTGAGGATTCGTTGAATCTTTTCTCCAAAGAAAGGCTGATGAAGCTGTATTGTTCGGATGATTCTAAAGATTACCCGAAACCAGCCGAAGCACCTTGTTCTGTTAATTGGACTGTAAGATTTGTTCAAAATTGTCAGAGAAAACCTTCACTTGGAAGAGTCGACTCATTCAACGCAAAAACCTTCGACAACCTTGCTGTTGACTTTGGACATTGATCTGAATTTGTGAAAGTCTAATACAAGTTAAGATCACCGCTAGGGAATTAACATTTGGCTGCGTTTACAACCAAACACAACTACTATTTTCGTCCCAGGAGCGCGGTTGCAAATCAGGCACACAGAAACCTTCGCTTTAAAGCCGACATTTGGTTCATCGCTGACAATCAGACCTGATTGGAACTTGGAATAGACCTGCGGAAGGTACATTTTGTAATGCCACTGACAGTTTGGCTTGGTAAAGGAGTAATCTGGCGGCTAATTCAACTTGGTTGGCTGAGGATTGTTTCCGAGAAACCGCATGTATCAGCCCTCCCATCTTCACAGGGCCCAGCTGGACGGCGCTTATTTGAATCATAATATTCCCGCCTTAATGTGTTACAAATCATCAGCACTAGGATTCCGTGCGAGTCACCAAGAGACGATCCTAGTTTGGGCGGGCTGGATTGCGGTACGCTTGATCGTTGCGAGGATATGCCTTTCGACTGTGCATTACCATTCAACATAAGTGGTTCCAACCTCCAAAGTATTCTCAGCAAGCGACCCCTATCTATATGTCTGGTTGGGAGGGAGCCAGACAATATCAGTTTACACGTAGCTTTTCCAATATGTCTCTTGCTCTTGATACAATGAGTAGTTCTGATGATTGGAATAATGTTATACAATATTCCTGGATCAGCCGAGCAAGGAGAATGGGCTACATTTGACTTTGATCAGAACGCCCAACGGAGAGTTACCGTTTGCCTCTCAAATGCCACCGTGAGACTAGAAACCGTTACAATGGAAGCCGCAGATGATTTAGCAGAACCTTCTCTGAATTACGACCCGTCATCTGACACATGGAATACTGACGAGATTATCGGTCTGATGAATACTATGGGAGGTAGTCAACCTGAAGAAAGGAGCATTTTGGATATAACAAGCACCGCGCCTATTTCTGCTTCCGACATGGAAGCAATGTTTGAATACTCACCTAATTTCGCGGTCTTGTCGCAGGCAGGGACTGCAGAAGATCTACGCGAGCAATTTTTCAGTTTTCTGCTTTCTCATGATCAAGGAGGGACACTGACGGTTATGGGATCGACGAATTTTTCCATTCATCTGTGTTCTGGCTGCAACTTGTCACCTAATTTCACGGACATACATCCACACTATCCCTTTTTACTCAGCGCTATCCTCGAGCAAACAGGCTCCATGGCCCCGGCATGGCAATCGATGCTTTTCTGGCTTGCTCAAGCGCAATATTACAATGCGCTGTCTTGATTTGATTTCGGGGACAACTCGGCCATGGTGTTTTCACGGTTGGTCTCCCTCCCCCCAGGTCTGGCTCGGTCTTGCATCTGTCACCAGTATCATTATATTAAATATTGCTTGTGTAGCGATTACAACATGGCTGTTCATACGTCGAACTAGATATTCTGTTTATGGCAACTCCTGGCATGCCATTGCGCAGGTCTTGTCTCCAGATACACGGCACCTACTTGATCGAGCTCCTCAGGCGACTGATAATCAGGTGAAACAAAGCCTTAGGGAAATAGGATCAGATAAGGTGGATGCCGGGTTATGGAAGTTGGAATCCGGTAGGATCGCAGTGGTTAGAAGGACATCGCCTTTCAAAAACGCTGAGATTAAATAAGTGACGATAACATATCATTTCCTGTTCCAGCTAGATAGGCAGGTAGCCGACGTTAAAATAAACATGGGGCAAAAGTGCTCAACAACAAGATCTCAGTTCTGGTATTCTACTACAGGCCCGACCTCTAGCAAATGAGGTTGACGATACAGCTATATCCGTCACTAACACAACTCATTGTCTTGAACGGAGTCCTGAACAGGGTTCTACGTTGATGTCGAAGTTGATCATAGCATCATAATCCGTGTTAGTTGACAAAGAAGAGTCTCATTGAGCCCAGTGTTCGAAGGTAGTGCATTGGTGGTGTTTCTTCTTGGTTCTCTACAGTTAGATTTACATGTGTTTCATGCATCGCACTCCCGGGCCTCCCACCTCGGCATTCTGTCGCGTGCTCCGCCCGGGCAGGGTTCCCGCATCAAGCGCGATCCCCGTCTGCCGGAGCACTAGCTAGGTTCGGCAGTCATGCCATGAGGCGTGGGCAAATGACTCCATCTGCTTGGTCAATGCGTAATTTCATGGTAGCGGATCGATTACGCACGATACAGGTTCGCGATGCTACTCACATCCACACCTTGCCGGCGCTAGACAACGGCCGGGGAAGCAAATACGACACGAAACGGGGCATCAATAGCCTGTGAAAAGCATGAGTTCCGCACGTTGGGTTCTACAAAAACCCTCAAGCCCGCAACCTGCCAGAAGCATTCACCGACGGCACTTGCGAATGTATCGTCGTCGGCGTCTTGGCCCCGTGCTGATTCTAAGAACAGCTTCGCTCGTCCAAGCCGTCTTATAAGAATCCGCTTGCCAATTGAGATACGCTGGAACGATCGAAGGTTCTGAAGGATTAAACAAGTCTTACATCCACAGCGGTCGCTTTGATATCTACAAAAGTTGCACTGGAGGATTCGAAAATGAAAGCTACCCTTCTAAGCTTATTCCTCGCTGCCACTGGGGCCAGCGCCATCCCTCTTGAGGCTCGAGCTGTGATAGCGCATGATGCCGTGGTTGGCTTTCCCGAGACTGTACCAGCAACAGCCACCGGCAACTCGTATCTGAAGTTCAAGCCATGGCTCAAGGTCGTCAATGGCTGCGTTCCTTTCCCTGCCGTGAATGCTGCGGGAGATACGAGGTATGGCTTCCTGAATCGGAGAGACGGGGGGTAACTGCTAATGATGATAAAGTGGCGGTCTTAGCCCAACAGGAGATTCTAGCGGAGGGTGCTCGAGCAGCACCGGGCAAGTGTATGTGCGTGGCGGCTCATACGGCAGCATGTATGCGATTATGTACTCATGGTGAGTTGCGAAAGCCTGGAAGCGGCGATGAACTCCAGTCCATTTGCTCACGAGCCCACGCAGGTATATGCCAAAGGACTCGCCATCGAGCGGACTGGGCCACAGGCACGACTGGGAGAATGCCATTGTGTGGGTGGACGACCCGACAAAGACGGATCCCACGATCCTGGCTCTATCGGCATCCGCGCATGGCGACTATGACACCATTACGAGCGATTTCGACCTGTCCGGCACGCGGCCTCTGATCAGATATTACAGCGTATGGCCTGTCAACCATCAGCTTGGCTTCACAGACACGCAAGGCGGAGAACAGCCCCTGATCGCTTGGGAGTCGCTGACGGATGCTGCCCGGACAGCCTTGACCAACACCGACTTTGGCGATGCAAACGTGCCGTTCAAGGACAGCAACTTTGATAACAACCTAGCAAAGGCTGCTCCATGAGATAGATCAAAGATGTACTCGGTAGCCTGCCATCAGAGCTGAATGTGATACTTTGAAGTTTGCAAACAAAGAATGCGTTGTCTAGAGGTGCGAAGATGCCGTTTGATGTAATAAGGCCATGCCTGCCTACCTACCCACATGCTTGCCAATATCACAATCCCATAGAGGCCCCCGACCTTCAGAACTAAGATCCCGGGTGTGGAAAGGCGCCGGCCATTGTCACTGATCAACGGTGTAATAGCGACGAAGAAAGGATGGAAAGAGGATAATACGCACCTAGGTGGTCTAGTAGGTATGTATGTATGCTGCGCAGACTTAAGTCAGCTTGGGGCATCGGAGGTAACGGGTCTCTCCACGGACCCGGAGGCTAACAAATTTAGGCTTCGGCTGCCATTGGCTCGCCCGCCCGCCCCGTCGCAACCTTGGAACGGTTTTCGGGGACCCCTATTAAAGGGTCCTCGAGTAGCAGCCAGATTGCTGGGACTCCAGGGATTTACGCCCCGTGGCACGGCTTTGTCTTGTGATCTGACCGACCTAAGTAGTTAAGCATCTGCCCTTAGCACCCCTTCCACTACCTAGGTAATAATTGCCTCTTTCTCTAGTTGGCTTCATGATCGCCTGCTCGGTCCCCTTGAGGTAGATTAGACGGTCTCAGAGGGAGCGACCCGAAGCGTTCCAAGCCCCAGAGTGCTGTCCTGACTTTTATCCTCGAATTCTCGTCTTCTTCATTTCACCGCCCGCCAGAAGGTTCATGCAGCAGCGACGTCATTTGAGCCGGCCTCGGTACACGGTAAACGCAGCGACACCCGCCGCGCCCGCCCAGAGTCTCCTTGTTCGGTCCCCGAGAACGCAAGGCGGATGAGCATCGTGGTCCAAGTGCAGCGCTTCATGTACGCGAAATATACAGATTTCTAGACTAGCAGACCGTCGCCTCAGTGCTGGCGGGCCAAGAAACACGAGAAGGCCACCCGCTGCCTTGCCTGTCCGCTAAATTGTTTCCCCAAAGCCCTGGAGCACGGCTCGCTAGCGGATCAACACAGGGCGGCGACATGGATGACGGCCGTAGACCTCCCTTATTACGACCGACTGAAGGGCGCTCGGGCACCCCCCTACTCTACAAACATCGAGAGCATCGCGACCGCCATCCCGACGACGACGACGACGACGAGAACGAGAACGACATCATCGAGCGCGGCCGCAAGCCCTTCCACTACGGCGGCAGTCCTCAAGCCTCTGCTGTCCCCGTCCCGACGACGACGGCCATGGCCCACAGCACGCCCACGACGCCCGCCTTCTCGCGGCAGCGCACCATGCGCTCATGCTCGCCCACTACCAACGCGCGTCTCGCTGCCCGGAAGAAGTACACCTATGCCGCCTTCTTCCTCGTCCTCTCGCTCGTCTCCTTCACCGTCCAGACCGAGCTTGCAAAGTACGTGTCGCAGGATCTGGGATGGGACAAGGCGTACTGCATGCTGTACCTGACCCACGGCTCGTGGTCACTCCTGTGGCCAGTCCAGCTGTTGATCCTCCGTCTACAAAAGCGAGACATGCCGTGGGAGGTCTTTTGGCGCCGGCATGTCTGGGTGCTCCGTACAACCGCCCAGATGGTTGAGAGACAAGACCTCGACATCCCTCGTGCATACCAGCACAAGTCTCCGGCGCCGTACATGGTCCGCACCACGGCCTTTGTCACCTCTGCGCTAACGGTGGCCGGCCTCAGCTGGTACGTTGCCGTGAACATGACGACGCCTAGCGACCTTACAGCCATCTACAATTGCAGCGCCTTCTTTGCGTACGCCTTCTCCGTGCCCTTGCTGAAGGAGCGCTTGCGCTTCGACAAGTGCTTCGCCGTGGTCATTGCCATTGTGGGCGTGCTAGTGGTAGCCTATGGAGACAGCAAATCGACGACGCCGCTGCCGCCGCCTGGAGACGGGAAGGCTCCTGCGGAAGGGATAGAAGCCGACGCGTTTCTAGCGAGCCCGCATGCCGCCGCAACAGCAGGAGAAGAGGCGGGGAACAGATTTCTGGGCAACTTGATAATCGGGGCTGGCTCGGTCTTGTACGGCCTATACGAGGTGCTATACAAACGTTATGCGTGTCCTCCGGAGGGAACGAGCGCGGGACGTGGCATGATCTTCGCCAATGCCTTTGGTAGCCTCATTGGCCTGTTCACGCTTTTGGTGCTGTGGCTTCCACTTCCCCTCCTACACATCACTGGCATCGAGGTCTTCGAGTTGCCAACAGGCTCGGCGGCCTGGTATCTTTTCTTGAGCGTCATCATGAATGCCACCTTTGCAGGCAGCTTCCTGGTCCTGATCAGCTTGACCAGCCCCGTGCTGAGCAGTGTAGCGGCGCTGTTGACCATTTTCATTGTGGCAATTTCCGATTGGATTCTGACTGGCGCGCCGCCAAGCGCGGCCGCCATGCTTGGTGGGTTCATGATCATTGCGGCGTTTGGAATGTTGAGCTGGAGCACGTGGAAAGAGATGGCCGAAGAGGAGAGGCGGAAAGAGATAGACCTGAGTGACAGCGGAGATGATGGCTCAAGCAGTCAAGATGAGGACTGATCTGATTTATGCAAGTCATATATACATACACGTGAGCCATATAAAGAGGCATCACTTCATGTGGGATAATCTCGTCGCGAGCTGGCAATGGATGGGGGGTTTACGGTATATATACATACCGCAATTGGGTCTTGGGTTATTGCATACATGGTTCTCAGCAGCTGAGTGCTTCTGGAACTGCTTATGGCGTCCGGGGTTTGATTGTTACAGGCCGGCTGGCAGCATTCACGGAACATAAGGAGACTTATCATATTAGCATCTGGAACAGGTTTGTTTCTTAGGAGTAGACATAGAACGTCTCAATCTAATTCGGTTTTCCTGTCCACACAGTTATTCATGGAATTCATTATTTCTCATTGATTCTGATATCCGAGTCTCGTGTCTCTAACGCCCTGTACGATATGGTCTGCCCGGACAAGACCATTCTGGAGGAAGCCCTGTTCACGAGTATGTGCTACGGGTCCACAGGGCTGACATACAACCACATACTAGACAATGGCAATCTCGCCGTCCCATTGAAAGCTATTCGCCTTAGCTGCCCCTGACTTGGTCTCAGATTTAGTGCTGCTTCTATGATGGAACGATCCGTTGTCTTGGGAGTAGGAGTCGCAGAGAAGGGTGTCGGGTAGAATGAGAGGGGTTACTAACAAGAAGTTCGACGGATGAGCTGCGTCACCTTCAGGCTCATCATCACTGAAGCCAGCCTCGAAGTCTTCCCCGTCGTTGTGCGCATGGAGTGGCTGAAACGAGATGCGGCGGCCACTGTCGCTATCGTCGTCCTCGTCTCGCCGAACAAAGACGCCCTCCCGCTCCACCCTCCAGTCGCCCCCTGAGAGCCGGATGTATTGGACCGCCATCTCCCAGGCCTCGCGGTCGGCGGCGTCTCCGCTCTCAAACTCACGCAACATGGACCAGTTGCTGTTGATGCTGCCGCTGCCATTACCGCTCTGCGTAGGGTCGAACAGCTCTTTCATGAGCAGCTGATATGCGGAGTTGCGCTCCATCCACAGGTCGTTCACGTCGATGTTCCGCATCTCCTCAGCATCGTTCAGAATGTCATTGCGTGGCACGAGCTGCACGAATAGTCTATCTAGGGGCGGTAGGTGCTGCACGAGCGTGTCGAAGTGCGATGCGAGTGGGAAAATGCCGACGTAGGAGAGATCGCGAACCGACTGCGGTATTAGTGGGATATCGTTTGGATATTCTTCAGAGCCAAGCAACGCGCCGAGCATGGACGGTGGCCGCTTGAGGAAGAACTCATACGTTTTGTAAACGCTGGTAGATGACCCCTCATTGAGGAGGAGTTGAGTCCAAGGCCGGATGTCAAACAGCTCACAAGCAACACGCTTCAGGACTGGGGCGCAGGACGAGGATGACGAGGATTCGGCGGACAGCGCCGCAGCTGAGCTCGAGGAGCCTTCTCCTCCAACTCTCTCATCCGTAGTAGGCATCGGGATAGATCTATCTTTTCTCGATAGAGAGAGGATATGCTGGGGCATCACAAAGCTCCAAGCATCACCGAGGAACAGCATCCGAGATAACAAAGATGCCAGCATCCGGGGAGAGGCAATGATTGTAAACCGTAATGGATCCATAACATCAAACAAGACTCTCCACAGCCAGTTATTGTTCTCGTTGTACGTTGCCGCTTTTTCCTGCCCGACGCCTCCGGTCATGCGGACAGCGCTGGGGCCAGGCATCCCTCTGCCCTCCGCCCGTAGGCGATACATGGCATTGATGCTGTCACCCACAGCCAGCGTCAGGGTCTGCACGTACTTCCCAAGGCCATGCTGTTGGATAAATGCTAGTACGGGAATGGCAGACGCTGGATCAGATTCCTGTTCAGCAACCATCAGATCCCACCTGTCGAACGCCCAGAGTACATGGCGGAAGAGTAGGGGCAGCACTGCAGCGCGGAAACGCCTGTTGACCAGGGACAGCGTCTTGAGAGGAACCGTCGGATCCGTGGCCGAATCGGCAGACGCCAGCATATCCGCACTGGGCTGTTCATGCAGACGGACCTCGGAGGCGGCAACGCCATCGAGGAACGAGAAGATGTGCACCAAGATCTCCGTGGGCAAGGCGCCGAATTTGGACTCTTCGGCGCCGGCCATGCCTACCTGCCTGCCCACCTGGCTGGCTGGAGGAACAGTGCAGATGGTGCGGGCGTTACGGCCGGAGTCGCGGGAGGATCAGACTCAAGCGGCCTAGGAGGATCCGGGAGTCAGTAAAGGTGTATGGTGTCTGTGTGTGTGGCGGATGCGACAGCCAACAGCCGCGGCCTGCAGGTGGAGGATTCAGCAGGCAGGCAAAGAAAGGGGTAGAGGAGGTATCATGAGAGGAAACGATGGAGTTGAGAGGGTTATAAATAAAGAAAGTGACGAAATAGCCGTCTATCAGTCCGTCAGTCGTAAAAGTAAGTCGGTCCCTCGCTCGAGGCCACTCCCGTGCCGCCGCCGCCCCCTTCTTCGCATTCTACGATTCGGACCCCACTAAGTTAAGTTAGACAGACTGCTAACTACGGTAAGGCAATGAATGTGTAATCGAGGGGCCAGCAGCCAGCACTGCACAGATAGTGGACACTCACTGACCTAGACAGCCCAATACAGTACAGAGGCAGCGAGGAAGGCAAAAAGAACCACATCCGGTTACCGACTGCGCTAACTACGGCAACGAATTTACTGATTTGCTCTGCAGAAGATGTAAGAGCTTGTCGTATTAGGTATGTGCTCTTAGTATGACTGGATGGATGGATTGGCTAGCTAATTAACACATACCACCTACCTAACTAATCCCAACTCAGCACAGTCCAGTCCTGTATAAGTGCGAGTGAAAATGCAGCACCTTCATGGCCTCTGGTTGCCTCGACTGCAATACTATGCCTTCATCAGACCGGAAGTCGTTTCGACCGCGCTGACCGAAGGCAGAGGACTTTGTCTCTCTGCTGACCACAGCACGACAGGAAGACTCGGACCCAGACCGGGGATCTCCATTTCGTCTAGATGCGGCGAGAGAGGGACTCAGACAGCAACCCAGTGGCCCAGCGTGCGCGGAGATATCCATTCATCTGGGGGCCAAAGACGCCGGTTGTTGGATTAAGAGTGCTCGCACTGAATAAAGTGATGACGGCAATTGGACAGCAGCCTCTGAGACGGCTGCCCTCCACGCCGCACGCCGGTTACGAGATGCTGCGTTGAGGCTAGCGAGCCTGACCTGACAGCGATGGGCCCCAACCCGGACTGCCGCTTGCTGCACACTGACTGCATTATCCCGAAGCTGCCCCAACACATTACAAGACCGCTTCGCTGACGGGGTCTGGATGGACGATAGCCGTTCTCGCTCGCTTCTTTTCACTCTTCTCGTCTATCGCACCTTCCTCGGCTATGTTTTGTTTATTCCTCGGCCGGATCTTGACCTGGACCTCGAAGGGGCAGCTCGTGTGACAAGCTGTTCGTATCAAGCGGACGTGTGTCATTGAAAAACGCGTTCATGTCCTCCAATTCGGCCAGGGATCGATTAGAACTTGGAAGGTATATGCGATCGGGTTGCGTAAGTGACCATGTCACAAGGGAAAGACGGCTAGCCCTCAAGCATCTCATCAAGGTAACAGCTTTGACATGACGACTCGCCATCAAGTTAGACAGCTGGAGCTCTCTTGTCCAAAACTTGACTTGACGACTCGGCATCGACAGAACACCAAACATGACACGCATAGGACCCGCAGACGCAGCCACATCTAGAGGACTTGGTACCATAACCCCTCATGATCAGGTGGCCACTCAGTGTACCAAGCAGAGACAGACGAAAAGGAGCAGTACGAAGAGATCTTTGCTACAAAGAATCTCCGTACTTGCTAATATCAGATCGGAGAGTGTGATTCTTGCATTCGAGTCTCGGCCACATATCAGTACAAGCGGTCGGCCGCATACACCAATCACTCGACATGCCTTTAGGAAGGACATCATTTGATGCCAAGAACCTGAGTGAACCTTATTAGTATTATGCAAGTCTTCCTTTCCAAGGTTGTGCTTAAGTAATAGCCTTTCTCAATTATTCTTCCTTGCTGTCAATAGACTTCCGATATTGGCCCTCCCTGAAGTATAATGCGACTTTTGAATCTGGCTACTCCGGCAAACATTCTACTCCCAATGATCGATATTGCTCTCCATTTGAGCATGAGAACACATAGAAGAGCTTATTGCGTACGAACGGTGGCTTTGGGCTGTAGCATTAGGAGACAAGCCTCATTCTCAATGCCGGGTTGAACAGTTATGTGTCTGGTGATAGCCTCAATAAGACTCACTATTCGGGTCACGTGTACCGTAAATGAGAATGCTAGAGATATCTACTATGTAATGTGTAGCTCATCAATGAACAGCTAGTGCTGGCATTCGAAGGCTCAATTTGTGGAACAGTTTTCGGACGACCTGAGACAACACAAGGCTTGTGCCTTCATAGCTCAAGAGGCGCCTTTGTGACTACATGGACTACTCAAAAGTGACATGCCATTCAGTTGGAATGGCATCGGCCTCGATAACCAGGCTACGTATGTGCTGGTTTCCGCAAATAGTTCGAGATTAATGGCATCGACGTGGCGAAGATGGTCAGGCCCAATAGGGAGTCACGAACGATGATGCGAGGTGACATTCTTTGTACGCCGGGATCTTAGCGTACTTCAGGTACATACTACAGTACCTGTTATAGAAATTCCATAGCAGAAGGACGCGAAGGGGAAGAATAGACGGAACCCCTGGAAGGATAGAAGGGTTTGGCCGTGCGCAACTCGAGACAGTCGAGCGGAGCCAGGGGCAAGAGGGTCCTACAGAACCACAGATGTATTACGTTGTCGAGACAAAGCGAGGGTCTGAATGTACGGAGCTTGTGTACGGCAGCGAGGCCAGCAGGCCAGACACGCAGATGCAGGCACGCGGAGCATGCGTTCCTCTTGGCTCTCGCAACGAGCCGAAGCCCAGGCCTGGGCCTTGGCAGCCCCCCGAAGTGTGGGACGGAGATAGACGTAGATCAATGCCATCTTCATCCTCGTATGGCTCGGGCGAGCCAGCTAGCCAGCCGATCCAGCCTAGGGAAGGCAGATACAGAGCGGACCTTGAAAATGTGCTCCAAGCATGTCTCTTCAAGGCACATTCGTAGATCACACCTTACAATGACATAGATTTGGCAGCTCACAGTACAGTACATTTTGTCTATTCGCAATATGTGCAGCCGGCCTGCTGATAAACCAAATTGTGCTGAAGTGAACAATACTGGCCAATGTGACTGAGAGGGGCCGTTTGAGCATTGATCAGCCCGACGAGCCTCAGTTTTTCGTACACGACTCAATATAGATCATTGCAGCAGTACTTGTACGGCCGCGAGCACTTGAACATGTTGATGATCGTGTATTTGCCCGCCAAAGCTGCCTAGGGCGAGTTCGGGCCAGGGCACGCAAACACGCTTGGATCCAGGAGAACCTGGAGAGACAGGGGGCCAGCGCGTTTCGGATGGCTCGCGCTAGGCCATGTCGAGGGGAGCAGCCTTTCGAACCAGTGAGCCAGTGAGCCAGTCGAGCCAGTCTCGCGACTCTCGCCAGAAGTCCCCTGGTCGGTCCCTTGCTTCGCAGCCTTCGCAGCCTTTCCCCCTGCCCGCGGCCTGATTGGGCTGAGCACGGTGCAGATTGCACAGCTCCTTGCCTGATTAGGGATAAACAAGGAGGCGAGTGAGATTTTTTGCCCATGGGTTGCATACGGCCACTCAGAGCTGCAGCCAGTTCTTGGATCTTGGAGATGCGCTCAACGGTGAGTCCTCGCTACTTTGCCCACTCTACCAGCCACCGGCTTCTCCGTCGTAATTCTCTGAGATGCCCGCCTCAGCCCGCCTGTGACTGAGTTGGGGGCCGTTTCGGCGAAGTCACTTCTACTCGGCACGAGATCAATAGGCTACTTCGAAGCAGAGAGAGGGCCCAGAAAGCCCCCCCTCATCTCGAGCTCGGGCGGGCGTTTTTGTTCACATTCCCTGACCAAGCCCGCCGAATTCCAGATGAGCTATGATTGGCCGTGGGTGGCCAATTTCATCCCATTCATCCTCATTCTCCGCGTGAGGTGTGCGGCGCGTGTGAACTCCAGCGGCGTGTGCAGCTAGCGGCCCAGCGCCTGGCCATTCACAACACTCGCCCCCGTCCACTCGTTGGTTCGCTCATTCATTTCAAGAGACTTGCGAGGTGTCTCGATCTACTGTAGTTATTGATTATCGTGCGAGTATCAACGGGGTCAGGGAAGCAACAACAGAGGCTGAAGATGGTACGAGGTGGTATCTCAGTATGTATGAACAGTACAGCCTACCTCCGTGTGACTCCCTGGCATGCCTGGTTCGCGGTTCTGGTCGCCCCTTGCCGTCGGGTGCTTCCCCAAACGCCGTGTCACTGCGTTTGCTGGTTGCATAACGAAGCCACCTTGGTACCGTCCTGTATCCGGAACCGTAGCAGCATACCTACTTCAATGCGTGCGTTGATGAGCTGCGCCTGGTGGTCAGGGCGAACAGAACATTGGATGGGTAATAAAGAAAGGTACGCTGAGTACGAGGCCAGATCTCTCGAATCATCATGGGGGAGTTTGTCTCTCAGGGATGAGGAACGCCACACCCACCCACCAGTTCCCCCCAGGAACCTCTCCCATTTGGGCATTTCCCTTTGAGGGTGCGGGAACAAGGTGCGGTGGTGTGCAGGCAAGTCCATTGAGATGAGGAGGTGCTGGACATTTTTCTATGCTATAGACTCACTCTCAGTCAACCAAGCCAAGCCGATCGCCCTACCGGCGAGGGTGGCAGGCGGCCAGCAGGAGAGTGTGAATGTAGATGCTGTAGGAGGTAGCCGTGGTAGCATAGCACGTTGTTATGGTGTGTAAGTGTATGTGCATCTTGTAGATATTCAGGTATTCCATCCATCCATCCATCCATCTATCCATTCATTCACTCATTCCCTCATTGGTACCTACCTTGAGGTAGGTGCAGGTTGTCTTCGTCCAGTCATCGACCGCCGCCGTTTTTTCCTTGTCGTCGAGTGGCCCCCCTTGAACCCCCCCGAGCCCCCCTTCTTCCTTTGGAGGTTGTGCGCTGTTCATTTCGCTCACCTTAGTCTAGTTAGCTGCTACCCAGGGAGTTAGTCCAGTGAGCATCCAGCGCTAAGTCATCTCCTGACTGGCTGGGCCTGCTGCCTTTTCTCCTTCCCACTCGCCCACTCGCCTGCCCGCCGCCTTTCCCAGCTGTTTGCTCCCTAATCCCTAACCCACCTCCCAGCATCACCACTGACCAACCAACCCTCCTTCTTCTTTTTCTCTTCCACACATACACACAACCACACACACCGCCCTTCCTTCCTTCTTTTCGCACCTTCACCTCTCTCATCCCCCCTCTCCTCTTTTCCGCCTTTTTCGACCTCAGGTCGTCGTTGCTGCTGCCGCTGCTGCCCCCGTTGTCGTAGTTGCCGTCGTTATTGATTGATTTGAAGAAGAAAAGGAAAGAAAACGAGAGGTTGAAAAAAAAGAAAAAGAAGCAGGGACTCATCCCCTCGGTCGCGCGTTTCCTCTTGGTCAAAATCCGGACATACAGACAGCCTCTTTTCTGTGACACCATCACGATCATCGCCAATATCCATCAACCGTCAATCAATCAATCAATCACACAGCGCCGCCTCTCTGCGACTATTCCCACATTTTGAACATATTGCAGCAAAAAATATCGGGTTCTGGAAGGATCACAAAACATCTCGAAACGCTTTTTTAATCCTTGTATATTTATCATACATCTATTCCATCTCCAATCTGCTTCTTCTATTTCGAGCACATTCTTGTTCACCGACGACCAACATCGATACAACGAACCACATCGCCTCGTCCGGCATTCGACGACACCACCAACAGCACATAATTCAACCTGCCAACTGAAAGAGCATCGCATCCGACACACAAAGGAAGATAATTTTCATCGGACGCACGACGCCAACTGCGACAGCGACGCGAGACTGACCCTGAGCCTGAAGAAGGAACAAAGAACAGCCAACGATTGCGGCCGTCTTCATTGTTGCCATCCCATCCGGCTTAGGAACCCGCAGCCGTCATCCGCGTCAGCCAGCATCGATCGGCTCCTGACTCGAAGCATCCAACAACAACCTTTCTTGCTGCCTTGGCTCGCTTCCCAGCGTCACCCGCCCTCAAATCGCCACTGACTGAGCGTCCTCTCCCGCGCGAGAAAGCAGAAGCTCGTCCCCGTCGGTCCTTCTTTGTTTCTTCTCTCGACTTTACCTTCCTCGACATTGTCGACGACGACTTGCTCTGTCCACCATTCATTCATTTTGCATCACTGCTATCCACAATCATTAATTAATACTTTCCTATCCTCTGCGTGCCTTCGCAACAGACGACTCTGCATTTTTCACTACGTCCTGCTTGTCCGAATACAGCCTTTTTGGATCGTTAGCTTTTGTCCGGCCGGTCTTCTCGCATCGACGGCATCATTTAGAACTCATCGCCCTCCACTCCTAGCGAGGCTGTACCGAACTTGAGAAAGCAAAGGTACAACAGAGGCACGAGGCGCTCTATTCATCCAAACAAACATTTCACGCCGAACACGTCGCCATAATATACCCATAAACGAACATCCTATCTCTTTCTCTATCTACTTCTTGTAATCCAACTCTTCCGACGACTGCTTCTGGTCCAAGCTCAGATTTGTTTGGCCTGCCTCTGCAAACCGTCGCAGCATTCATTTCTTCCTCGCCAATCTTTCGGTTTTACCGCTATTTCACCACGCGAAATAGCCTACAAGCCCCCAGTTCACCTCACGAATTTGATTTTCTTTGAGCAATGGACACAGGAGGTCTCGCTCAAATGCATCCCTCCAACTTCGGTGCACCTGCCTTGGGCATGCCGTCATCCGGTCTCGCCTCACGCCGCGGTGGCCAAAATCTGAAGCCTCTCTCGTTCGAAGCCCTCAAGTCTCCTGGCGACAACAAAGAGAACGGGATTCCCACTCCGAGAACGAGCCGATCACACCTGCTTGCCGGCCTGAGGACGGCGCCCAAGTCGGCCACCACAGCTACCTTCCCGGCCTCTCCAACCACTGCTGGTCCTGCTGCGCAGATGCGTAATAGGAACTCGATCGCCGGAAATGTATATGGGTACCAAGAGAACGCCTACAATGGCCCCAAAACTTCAATTCCCCGCTACGCCAACGTTCAGCAGCCCCAGCCGCAACAGCAGCAACAGGTCCCTCAAGGTTACAACCCTGCCCTGACGAGCTACAACCAGCAGTTCACGCCTGAGCAAATCCTCGCTCCCCCTGAGATTCACGTCGACGGCCAAGAGCAGATGGATCCCGACTACCTTGCGCAACTGGTTGCCACCAATCTACAGCTCGCTCAGCAGCAGCAGGCTCTTCAGCAGCAACTTGCTTACCTTCGACAAGCTCAGCAGCAGATTCACGGAGTCAATCTTGGCCAGCAACTAAGTTACCAGAATCTGTACCAACAACAACAGCAGCAAGTCCGGAATATCCAGTCTCTCATGGGCAACACCATGGCTGCTCAGCCAAACATCTACACGGTCTACGACCCCATGACCGGCCAGCAGACCTACTACGTTGACCAGAACGCCCAGCAGCAGCTGAACAACCAGTTTGTGGATCAGGCACAATTTAATCGAGGCTTCCAACAACAGCAAGGTTCTGGCACCCCACGCCTTCAAGTGTCGCCTCCACCGGTGGAGACTCCCCAGCCGATTTTCCGCAACACGTCTCCCCCGCGACGATACGACTCGCCAATCGAGAACCCGACACCGCTCCCACCTCCTTCTGCCAACGCTTTCCGTCGTGGACACAAGAAGTCCTCGTCGTTGGCTAATGTCAACGCACAGCTGGCACAAGCTTCGCAAGAGCCACCCAAGTCGGCTGGGCCTAAGACTGCATCCTTCCCTTTGACACCTATGGCTGGCGGTTATGGACCAGGTCAAGCCCGTGCTGGCGAGCACCCAATTCGTCAACCTCGTGGCCCCCCTTCGATGGAAGAACTCAAGGACAAGCCCACCGCTCGTCATGAAGGATCCAAGAACTTCGTCACCCGCACGCGACGATCTGCCGTCCACAACCTCGTTCGCGCTGGCTTGGAGCGCCGCAAGGGTAGCGGTCCCAGCAGCTCTGGTACCATCAGTCCGATCTCCGAGTCTGCCGAGGAAGCTGCCACCCCGCTTACCGACAACGAGTCCGACTCTGGGCATAGTGGCTCAGGTAGCCTGAATGGCGATGATGTCGAGTGCAGCCTTCCGAGCTCCCGCACGAGCACTGGTAGCTGGGGTGCTATTGGCTCTGACAGACCGGGCTCCCGACAGAAGGCTCGCAACAGTGTGGGCAGTGCTTCCGATGGCGAGGCTGGAAACGGCAGCTTTGCCAGCGTCTTCAAAAACGCAGGCAGGACCGAGGCAGCTCAAGAGAGCCAGGGCCAGCGTCGTGCTCCAATGCTGGTGCTCACCAGCGCCGAGAAGCGCAAGATGGTCGCCTAAGTCTGTGTCGACATAGACTAACATTCGGGAACACCGGTAGTTTCCTCATTTTACGTAATCACGATTATGTCCCCATGTCTTCCCTTTCACCAACGGCTCCTCATGGCGGAATGTTCTGAGGTCGATCCTCTCATTCGACAGCTGGTTTGCGGATACGATATGACCGGTGGGATAGGATGGTAATTGAGGTCTCAGAGTTTTACTTGCACCACAAAGATTGGTTTTGAATTCGCAATTGACTTTTCAACGATTTCGATTCCTGGGGGATGGTCAAGATATCGCATCTACCTGGGTCAACCTTGGGATTCTGGAAGTGCGGTCTCTTGGCCTCGGATCATTTGTTCCCTTCTTGGTGGGTTATTCTTGGTTGGGGAAACGTCTTGCGTAGCATGGTGGTGTTGTTGGACTTTTTTTTACATTGGTTTTGAGGAAGCAGCTCTCACATTCTTCCACTCCTTTCGCACCTGGCGCCCCCTGATGGGGCCATTTTGCGCTGTTTTCAAGACGAATATGATCGGGCCGTAAATCGGGGGCCAGAGGGTTCGAGGAAACCGTGTTGTGCTGTTAGGGACATACCAGGAAGACATCATCCAGACTGAAATATGGGTGGATGAGGGATGACAACTGGCAGGATCACATGCTGTGAGCGACAAAAGGGAGGGATTTGCCATAACGTCACCTTCCTTATCGCATCTCATGTGCATTTTACAGTATCGAGAGAATACAGATATAGCTTTCGGAAATCATGGTGCACTTGTTAATGTGAAATGTGAGATGAAAATTGGTGTTCACAGAGCGCGTAATAGACTAGACCGATGCCTTACAGTGAAAAGCAAGCCCCGTAGTTTTTAGTACCAGTCACCTGGGGTATGCCGCAGTAAGCACTTTAAATCGCTTAAACCCTGGGCTACACGCTGAATACCACCGGTTGTGCAGCAGAGCACCCTGAGCCTGGACATCGTGACACCTCATCGCTGTAGGCGGAGGCACGTAGGCTGAACATCTTCCCGTGCTTATCTACAAAGTGGTGGGCGGTCGGGGATACATTGGCTGTCGGCTTTCGAAGCTTGCACTCGACGATAAAGCCGAACCGCTCTAACCTAAATGACCCGACAAGGCTACTGAAATTCAGTACCAGCTCTCCAGTTGCCAATCAGCGATCGAGCCTTGCGGTCTCGGATGTCACAAATAGCTTTGCCCCTCCTCCTCATGCTCTTATATCCAGGCGGAACGGCACGGTAAGTAGTTAGGCATCGTTGCTTCCGACTGAGGTATTTAAAGTTGGGTTCATCACTGGCAAGATCATCAAAGAACAGGAAAATAAGAGTTACACACATCGAGCGTTCCCTTGGTCCCATACACACCACTGGACAGAACTCCACCCGGGCCACTTGACTTGTTCTCATATCGTCTTGATAGACCGCCCCTTCTGTACCTGGGCATACTTGCTTTTACATGATGCCATTCCCATACAGGACTGTTCTGATTACGGGAGCCACTGCTGGCATTGGCCAGGCTCTGGCAGAGCGCATGATCGAGAACGGCATCTTCGTGATTGCCGTGGGCCGACGCAAGGACCGTCTCGAAGCTTTGCTGGCCAAGTATGGGACCGACAAGATTGCTATCGAGCCCTTCGATGTCTCCGATGTCGAAGCCATTCCCACTTGGGCCAAAGAGTATGTTGACCCGTTTTGTCTTTACAAGCATGGTCAATACGGAGGCACATTCAGTATACATGAAGCCCGGTCGGGCTCTTTGGCAAAGAGATTTGCAAATTGATATATAAGAAGCTAACTGACTGAAACAGAGTTACTACAAAGTACCCGGATCTGTCCAGCATCTTTCTCAACGCTGGAATCCAGCGGACCATTGACTTCACCCATCCGGAGGCCATCTCCCTAGACCGGGTGAACACAGAGCTGACCACGAACTACACGTCACCTCTTCACACGCTGGTCGCCTTCCTACCACACCTCACGTCGCTGGAACCGCGCCCAGCCAGCATCGTGCTCGTGTCGTCTGGCCTCGCACTTATTCCCATCCCACGTTGTGCCAACTACTGTGCGACCAAGGCGGCCATGCACAGCCTCGCCTGGACGCTGCGCTCGCAGCTCTCGGCGCCGTCATCGCCGGAGACACAGCACATCCGCATCATTGAGATCATCCCGCCCGCCGTGCAGACCGAGCTGCACACGCAGCAGCCCGACCTGGCCGCGGCCGGGCAGGGCCCCATCGGGATGCCTCTGCAGGAATTCCTGGAGGAGACTTGGAGCGCGCTGGAAAAGGGCGACGAAGATGAGATTCTCGTCGGACCTAATCGTGAACGGTGGGGCACGGTCGAGAATGAAAAGAAGGCAGGGTTCAAGATGGTGGAGGGCATTGCCAGAAAGGGCACGGTGGCTCCTTGAGGATATAGCTGTGATGTGTGTTCATTGAAAGTATGTTAGCCACGATAAGAACTGATTAGCACAACGAATCGAAACCTAGAATGCATATCAAGTGCAGTCCCATGCCGTACAAGGGATATATGGCGGAAAAGGAAACCTAAGGTTGGAATAGTTATCATCACTAAAGGCACATCCTGATATGTGATAGAATGTATCCTCCTCCAGGTGCCGCAACCGCCACTTTAATCAATAGGTATATGATAAGAAACTAGAACAATGACCTATCCCTGGATGCAAATTTCTTCAGAATTTTGACTGTATAACATGAGTCATCTGTCGGAAACAGAGCCTGTATTATCCGTTGCAAACATAAGGGACAGCACGACAAGAGTGCACTGCCTCAGTCTCGTAATCGACATTCTATTGTGTTGGACGCAACTGGAGTCCATATAGCGACACTTACAACATACCAATCACAAAGGAATTCTCGTAACAGAAGATATGTACATCGCGAGCTTAGCGCGTCTGCAATGCAGCGTCTCTTGCATGCTGCACTGCAAGCCTCCTGCAGAAGACGGCGCTTAAGATGCATCCAAGCGCCGGCGCGGCTGGTTCGCTCACGACGTGGCTCCAATGAGGCCATAAAAGAATCTTTGCTGACCACACTCTACGACGGATCTCGTTTAATTTCGGATCGACATCTTTCCAGCTCATGGTCGGAACCGAAAGCCACGGATCGGCGCCGTCTTGTGTCCTGAATATCTCGATGTTTGGTAGGTTTTCAACTAGACCGTGAGAGACTCAGCAGTAGAGCGTAAAGCATGAGCCATCACTATCGACTTGGCCTTTAGACATTGAATGATTCGTTTTCCAATGAGTGCGCATCATAAGAACCATGGTTTAAGAGCTTCATAGTAACTATTTGCCTCCTTTGGCACAAACTACAAATATTTAAGTCCATGTCCAACGTAGCAAGCTCGTAGTCGTGGAGTTTTGAAACAAAATCAATGACCCGTTGACTGATAGGACTCTTTGATAGATAGATGATAGGAGTCCATTCACTAAGTCCCAAAAGATTGTTGGATGAAGGAGTGTCAAGGTTGTGTGCAATATAGCGGCTTGGCTCCATCACGCTCGCAGTAGAGGCTGGGAAGGCAGTAATTATAGGCGGACTAGCATGGCCTGGTAGGAGTGTTCGCAATATAGAAACGTCCAATAGGTCATACGAGCAGCTGCCTTAGCACCACATTAACAAGATGTTAAGAAACCTGAAAGCATTAACACGTATTCTACATGATGACAGCGGACTGAAAGGATTTCCGAATCGCGCAATTTCGGGTGCGAAATCGGAATCCTACACTGATAATTATTAGGCAACAACAATCGTATTGATCATTGAGGCACGTAGGTGTTAGAGGCTGAAAGCGATAGGTCTCACTCAGGCTAAGACTTGCCGACACACCAAAACAGATCGTTAAGTACCGGGCTACTTTCGCAATGCAAGCCTTGACAGGAACTGGAGATTATTTATTGTAGGTTGGGTTGGCATCACACAGTACCCGCGCTACGAGCTTCGTTCGGATACAAACCTATAGCGATGAGGCTTAGGTTATGACTCATCATAAAAGTCAACTTACTGATATTAGTAGAGTGCTAATATGTGACATCGACTTTGACAAATTCCACTTGCAGTATGATGAACTAAATATAGCAAAGAATGGCAAGCCTCGCAGACAGGCATTTCTGCAGCCTTGTCTTAGTTCGATGACCATCAGGCACATAGCTCGAGAAATTCAATGATGTAGTCTAGAGTTTCGTTTCGCTTTATTTCTCTAGTTAGGATAATTCTTGAGCAAATAGGCTATTCAACTATGCAACACCCAAGAAACAGCGGCCGTGGCTGGATCCATCAGGATTCTATGGGCTGACGGATATGACCACAAGCTCTTCAAGCCGTGCCGGTGAGCCAACATTGCCTACGAAAGGACGCCGCTTGTGTGACCGGATACAATAAGAGATAAGTCTGAATCTTTATCGACCGGGCTATATTGGAGAAGAGGAATTCCAGTGATGACTTCCGTTCTTCCATGTCACTAATTGTTGACAATCTGATTGCTAATCAGCCTTACGGTGGCTGTCATCACTTAAGTCTCACTCACCTAATGCGCATACTCCGCTCCACATGGTGACAATCTCTGTTGGTGTTGACCAATCTACTTCTGGCAAGTCATCTATATGAGGCTAGACTCACTGCAGTGCCATACGATTGTCAAGCATTTAACATTACGGGAGTCTTTGAAAGACAAAGGCCGCCTTGTCAGATTATAAGAGACAGCCTCAAAGTAACTAGCATCCTCGGGATTGATTAGTCCGTGTCACGGAAATAATGTTATGCAAGGGTACCTTCCTACGCTTCCCCCACGCTCGCGCTCGATTGGCATGGGCGATGGCTTTGATCTGGCAAGGATATGGAGTAATATTGCAATGAGCCACATCATCCCTGATACCATCGTCAAAGATCTAAAACGCGCATGAAAGACCCGCCGATTTTTGAGCCACTGTAATGTGACCTCGTGGATATCAAGATATCGCAAACATTCTATTCTAATTTCTGTATCAAGTCTCTTTTGAGCGTTGTGTATAAGTCTTTGAGCAGAGATGTTCTCCACGTGCTCTGATTACAAGTCTCTGGCGAGGCTGCGAACTCCCAAATGAATTTAAAGGTTTCCTAAGTTTGCAAGTGCCGACCGTGAATGGCTGACACAGACAGGTAGTCTAGGGTCGGGGTCGGAGACTTTTGTGTCAGTCACGGCAGAAGCCTTTCACGGAGCTTAAATCCGGCTGACAAGACTCCCTTTATTGTAGAACGTCTCCTGGCATGTGCCTCGCGAGTATGTAGAGGTGTCATGAGGCTACCAGTTGTTGAGCAAGCTAAACGAATTACTGGTTCCGGCTTAGATCTAAACGCTCCATACGTTAAACAAGACAGATCTGAGAGGTGGCGTGAAGGAAGACTAAATGTAACTCGTGGTCGCCTTGTGTACACACCCGCCCTCTCATAAAGCCTTCACGGCACAACAAATAGACCAGACAAGGCGCCTCGCACCCGCTCGCACCTGACGCGGCGTGGATCATCCGGGGTGCTTGTCCTGCCGGAGTTACACAAAGATGTGATGAGATTGGGGCTCGCCCCGTCTCGACGATTCCCGCTCCTGTCGATGATTGTCAGCGATGCGGCAAATTCTGGGGCCCAGTATGACGTGAGATAGGCAGGAGACTGCCTGGTTCTGTGTCGTGCTGCGCACCCAGACAGAGCTTGACTCCTTCCGCCCTTCCCGGAAAGCGTTCGCAGCGATGCACCTGCGCTGTCACAGTGGTATTCTGCCAAGGGGGAAAGGGGGATAAGGCTCGGTACTCGGTATTCATCAACTTGTCCGCGGGTGGAGACCGAAAATGAGTGAATTTGGACCGAGATGGCATTGTGCATTGAATGCACCAGGTCGGCGATGGCTTGAGTGAAGGTTCCCGCTGACTGTGTCTGATCCTGATAGCTTGAGTTGAAAAGATCCGGGGCCGCACCTTAGTTAACCCGCTCTGGTAAGAGGTGGAAGGCATCGCGAAGTGTAGCGGCACTAAGTCAACGTGGTCAAGAGACTTGTCAAATATGAGAACGTTCATGTGGGCGTCACTTCACGCCAACTACAATGCAACAGGTGTGTTAGCGTGAAGTAACGCTCTCAGGGCTATGCATCGCCTTTAAACAGAGTTTAAGTGATTGAGAGATGCTCGCCTGGGAGAATCGATCTGCATTCTGCGACCGTGGTATGACCTGCAGCTCTAGTGCAGTGGAGAGCAAGGGAAAGGGGAGTCGCAAGGTATTAGCGAGCAAGCGAGCCAGAACATCAGGACGTGGTGTGCTCTAAGAACTTATTGGATATTAGACCACATGTCTGCAAGACAATATATAGAAAGGCCCGCATCGCCATGAAGATCAAATGATATCATAATTATATCTTAAAACAGGAGGAAGTTGAGCACCTTCCATAGAAGCAGAATATATGACCCCGATCCATATAATGCCGCGTGTGGTATGATAGTGAGAACATTGGACACTCTGAGCAAACCCCCAAAGACCATGATACATATGATGAGACCCACCCAAATTGTTTTAAAACCCAGGCGGCCGTGGAACCATTAAGAGAAGGAATAAAGACACCAAGATGCAAGAAGGTGATGTTGAAGACTAAAAGGAAACATGTCATGAATCATCGTCATTCGTGGCTCCCTCGTTCCGTTGCTAGATGCAATATTAGACAGCCACCGATCGGCCCAGGATGGCCGAGTTTTTCAGTCAAACGCCCACTGCGCCCGGCTGATCTCAGAATTACTGCCCGTTTTCCTCATACATTTCCGCACTCTGGTCGACATGAGTCTATCGCCGATCTTCTGGCCGAACAGTGTCTCCATAGAACCCGCCTCCGCCACCTGCGGCGACGCAAGCTAGACATACGCCGCCGCCATAGACGCGCGTATGTCTCTTCCATCCGGCGCCGCTGTCGTCTAGTACACTGATGATCTCGCCCTGTACATCAATGTCTCTGCCGATCTGATGATGGCCGTCCACGATGTCGAGTGCCAGCTCATGGTGCCCTGGGGGTGGAGGCGGCAGCAGAGGAGACGTGGGCGGAAAGCTTGATGGCGAGAAGCCGTCAGTAGTCGCGGAGGGCAACTCCGTCGGCGGTGATGAGGGAGAATGTTGCGGGACAGGTATCCCTATTGGTAGTGTTTTGTTATAACTCCTTCTGCGGGGGGTGGTTGGAGGGGCGTCAGTCTTCATGGCAGCAGACGAGGAAGACCCCACGTAGTCCGGGTTGGGCTGATGGATGAATGATGACGCCGCGGGGCTGACGGCATCTAGCTTAGCAGGGATGGAGTGCGGATAGGATCGCCGTCTATCGTCAATTGTGAAGATTGCACCAGACAGCGTGGGCGGCGTCAGGGGCGGGGGAGGAGGAGGACGC